AGTGGTAGAGTGCTGCTGGGTTCAATCTCTAATACCAAACCAAACAAAACAAAAAACAAAACAAGCCGCCACCACAAATAAGATTCCAATTAGAACTGATCAGCATGGGTCAAACTGACCTAGAACTGCCATGCACAGTGGAGACTTGAAAATTTGATATCATTTTGCTGTGAGCCAAAAGGTGGACCTGAGCAGAACTCTCTGGAAAGTTCCTTGGGACTCTATGATGGTCAACTTGACCAGTCAACTTGATTGGATTAAGAGATGCAGAAGATTAAGAGGCTTCTGGATAAGTCAGTAAGGGTGTGTCTAGGAATGACTGGCATGTGGGATAGCAAACTGAAGTGTCGACCCTCCCTAAGTGTGGGCAGCACCACCCAGGAGGTTGGAGGCTTAAACAGAATAAAAGTTGGAAGAATTAGGAAGCAGCAGCAGATGGAAGCTTGGTTCTTCTTGATTGCTGCCGTGATTCCCTGAGGACATCAGACTTTCATTCACTCTTCCAAAGTAGACTCTGCCAGTGATTTTTCAGGGACTTTCCAGAAGCCTTCAGTCTCAGACTGGGGAGCATCGCTGATTCTTCTTGTTCTGAGGTTCAGCATCTTGGACTGTGCCGCTGCTGGTTCCTCCAGCTCTCCAGCCTGCAGAAAGCCATTGCGGAATATCCGGCCTCTGACTGTGTAAGTCAATCTAACAAATCCCCTTTTCATAATCATACCTCCTGTTGGTTCTGTTCCTCTAGAGAACACTAACTAATATAGACCCCAATAAAACCAGAGGGCAGGAGAGGCATGCAGCCCTTTTCCTTTCTGAGAGGTCCCACTCTCTCTCTTGAGAGTGTCCCCTTTTTTCTTTTCCTATCCCTTCAATAAACTCATGCTTACTCCTCTTAGCCACATGTCTGAAATATTTCTGGCATGAACAAAAGAACTAGGGTGAAGAGGGGGGTCTTCATTTCTGCTTCAGTTTTCTTTCTTTTTTGGTAACAGGGATTGAACTCAGGAGCACTCGACCACTGAGCCACATTCCCAGTCCTATTTTGTATTTTATTTAGAGGCAGGGTCTCACTGAGTTGCTTAGTGCCCCAGCTGTTGCTGAGGCTGGCTTTGAACTGTGATCCTCCTGTCTTAGCCTCCCCAGCCACTGGGATTACAGGTGTGCCCCACTGCACCCAGCTCTGCTTCAGTTTTGTGGTAAGACTCTGCCCTAGAACAATTCCTTCATGGAAGGGAGGTTTAGTGAAGCCTGGAAGGGACCTCAGCATTATAGAGGAGCAGGCACTGTGCTAGGTGGCTGCTGGGTGCCTTTTCAACCTTCATCTGAAAAATCCTGTGGTGCCTGAATTTACAGTTAACTGGAGAGGAAATGAATCAAGGATGACAATTGATCTTGCCATTTGAATCTTTCTTGTTTCAAAGATTTTAAACCTATAATGGGCTGGGTTCAGTGGCCCAGGCCTGTAATCCTCAGAACTTGGAAGCCTGAGGCAGAAGGATACCAAGTTCAAGGCCAGTCTCAGCAATTTAGTGAGGCCCTAAGCAACTTAGTGAGACCCTCTCAAAACAAAAAATAAAAAGGACACAGGGGATGTGGCTCAAAGGTTAAGCACCCCTTAAGTATCAAAATACAATAAAATGAACCTAAAGTGAATTTGAGAACTCTGAAAGCAACATGGGAAAAAGCTGTAGCCAGTTTGAAATTGGTTTTATGGTTCAGGTTTTTATTTTTATTTTTGGTATTGGGGAGCAAACCTAGAGGTGCTTTACCACTGAGCTACATCCCCAGCCCTTTTTATTTTATTTTGAGACGGGTCTTGATAAATTGCCCAGACTGACCTTGAACTTGAGATCCTTCTGCCTCAGCCTTTCAATTTTCTGGGAATTCAGGCATATGCCACCACACCTGACTTGAAGGCTTACCTTTAAGTCACTTGAATTGCTTTGGAACCCAGAAGTTACTTCGATTTCCTCTGTGTGGGAGTGATCTTTATATGAAAGAACAATCAATAGTTAGCACTAACATTTTGTCACATTCATGAAGCATAAGTAGTGCATATTATAAGTTGGGGAATTATCTGTGATGGCAAACAGAGGAAATAAATCCCTGAATTCAGCGGAAAGGCTTTTTGAGGTACAGGGCTACCAGTGAGTTGCACAAAACACAAAAGTGATAGCATTTGAGTCTGATAGTGGAGCAACTGGAATACCGGAGGAATACTCACAATATTTCATAGATTGGGCAAGAGATAAGTATCAGCAGTGAGTGTTTTATCTAGTCATGATGAATGTTTCTGGGAGAAGAATCAGAACAACAAAACTGATAATAGCTAAAATTGCCATGATAAAAATGTGCTGTTATGTAAACATTATTGAAAGAATCAATACTTTGTGAAAAAAATACATGTTTGCAAAATTAAACTCAGTAAAATAATGGCCACAAAAAGAAACTCACAGTGGAAGAAGCTATAGTTGGTGGTTTGTTTAAAAAAATAATGGTATGAACATAAAAGTAATTTTCTGTGGTAAAATACACATGAAAGGTAAAATGCATATGAAAATATTGAACCTAATAAAAATAATTTCAGCAAATAAAATGGAACATATCTAGAAGACATAGAAGATATAAGCATGTGTTCTAGATAACCTAATTAAGAAATTAAATGGGCTCACCAGATTTTTCTGTCAAAATTTATCAATGGCAGTAAAATTTACCAAAGATTTTATTTAAAATGTCACAGACAAAATGACGTAGTAGTAAAAAATAAAATAAAATAAAATGTCAGAGACAGGTAAAATAGAAGACAAGTCAGGGGGTCTGGCTCCTAATCTTGCAGTTCTAATTTCAGCTGCAGCTCTTTTGGAAACAGTGAGGTAAGACTTAAATTAATCTCATCAACCATGTGTCTAGAAAATTACAATATTCCACAGAAGTGGCAAGAGAAAGGAATATGTTATTTATGTTCTACTTCAATATCTCAATCATAACCAAATAAACAGCATAATCTAAAATATGTTCTATAACAGTTTGTAAGCAAGACTGCAAAATAGCATCTCCAGGAATCCCTTTTTTCCCTGTGTAGGTCCATGTTCTATGTTCATCATCTAATGCTATTGGCTTGTTTCATATCTTTTAGAAATTCCTTAATTTTTGGCCCAGTCAGGGGATTTTTGTTGTTGTAGTTGTTGCAGGATTGGGGGTTGAATCCAGGACCTTGCATAAGCTAGGCAAGTGCTCTACCGCTGAGCTACATCCCAGCCCTTAGGATATTTTTCAAAATGTGTATACAGTTGTCCCTCCATATCCATAGGGGATTGTTTCCAGGACTTCCTGGGATAACAAAATGATTAAGTAAGTCCCTTATATAAATGTAACTGTTTTAGTCTAATTTCTGCACATCTTCCACATTTTCTTTTATATTTAAATCATCTCTAAGTTACTTATAGATGATGTACTCAATACAAGGCAAATTTTGTATACTCTGTTATTTAGGAAATAATGAAAAGAAAAAGAACTCTTTAAATGTTTAGGACAGATGCAACTTTTTTTCCTGAATATTTTTGATCTGTGAGTAGTTGAATATGCATATATGTAGGGCCAACTGTAATTGTTATTTCAACAGGATTTAAGGAAGGAATATGGTTTAGGTCTATCATTGAACTATAAACAATTAGGCAAATAATAGCTTGACTAAAAAAATAACTTGACTAAATGGTGAGCACAGGAAAATAAAGATCTATAAACACTTAAAGAAAGCAAATATATGAAAAAAATCATCACTTAAATATGACTAACAGCAGAGGAATGAAATTGATTCCAAGTTATCTAAGGACAGTGAAAGCAGCAGACTTTAACAAATAAAGGTATATAATAGGAGGAAAGTTTAATTCTTCAAGAAATTTGGGATTAAAATGAGTGCAATAAAAAATGAAAAAACATTGTATCTTGTGTCCAGCAAAAAGCAAGCACCCATTAATTATTTAATAACTGAATGACTTTGTCAGAAATGTCCTGGGATCTAATCCAAGTTCAAATATCAAATGTGGCCATAAACAATCTGATTTATAAGACTAGAAGCTGGGTCTATAGCAAGCAAGAGTTTTTGTGTTTGTTTTTTTAAGCCAAATACCTTTTTAGAAGGCCCAGTTGAATCAACTTGTAACTACAACTATCTTTTACTGAAGATAACATCTCCCAAAAATGTGGTTCTTAATTTTCAGTATTTCACTAAATTTAAATGTTAACATAATTTTACTTGAAATTAAGCAAAGGTTAACCCTGACGCTGGTAGCAGTTTGATAAATACTGATTAATTTTTTGAGGACCATCAAAGGAGAGGGAAAAGTTTTTTTTGTTTTTTTAAATAGGGTTTATTTTTAGAACATAAGAGACTACAATTTCCTCAGAAAGGGTCTTTCTACTTTTAGAAAAGTTCCTTCATACTTTCCTTGGCATACAAATAGCCTCGGGGTGTTGTTGAATGCAGATTCGGTTAGGCAGGTCTGGGATTAGATGGGAGCTGTCTCTTGATGCTGCGGGCCTGTAGACTATATTTTGAATGGCAAAGGATCAACTCTGAACCATTTTAGGTTTCCTGATCTTTATCTTCAACTTTAATGATTTGATCCCAAAGTGACTGCTTTGTAACTGAATGAAAGTTTCTAAGAAACATCAAGCCTTCTAATCTCCCTCACTTTCAAACGTGGAAGAATTGCCGCTTCAGCCTCCGCCCTTGGTCCTTGATGAACGCGGCCGGAGCTGGCGGAACCTCTGCAAGCGCGTTTACCAGCCCAGATAGGAGTAGTAAGGCAGCCGCGGGGAACCCGGGGATACCCGTCCACCTTCGGCCGCCGTCGCCGGCCCTTTCCAGGAAAGCGCGGGCCCGCCCCTGGCGCGCGGCCTCCGATTGGCCGGGACAGGGCCGGGCGTGACGTCAGGCCCCGCCTCGCCGCCCTCCGGCCCCGCCCCATGGGGTGGCCTGGCCGTTTGGTCTGGAGCAGCTGAAACCGGTTTGAGCGGAGGCGCTTCCTACCGCTCTGCGCTGCCGCGGATCGCCTGGAGGAGCGCTGGCGAGGTGTGGACGGCGGGCGCCCGGCACCGCAGCCTGCGGCCCTCGCTCTCCGGCGCGGCGGTGCCGCGGACCGCTGACCCGGGGACTCGGCAGGTAAGGCTGGCGGGCCGGGCGCCGGGTGCGGGCCGCGGCGGCTGCTCACGTGGCAGGCGAGGTGTCAGGGCAGTCCCAGCCCCGGGACGCGGCCGGGCGGGGGGCGCCGGGCCGAGGGGCTGGCGGGGTCCCGCGGCTGCGGCCGGGGCGCCTCGTCGGGAGCCTCGGCGGCCTTGACGTTCGCTGCGGTGGTAAGTCGGTGGGTGGGAGTATTACCCGCTTTTGTTCGCGACCACGGTTCCCCGGGACTGTCCAGTGCTTGGTTCCCTTTTGAAACATGTGGCCAGAATTTATAGAGCGTAGGACCACCAAGAATATACACAGTACTAAGTTAAGGAACAAAGAAACACAAAATGCAACAGAAGTCCCCTGATACCCCTTTCCCACAGCAGTCCCCTTGCCCACTACCACTGTGTCCCTAAGTAACTCACAGTGTCTTGACAACTGTTTTTCCCTCCCAATTGCCTAAAAATAGTGACCACAAAAGAAAACTCCCCAAAGTAGCAGAGTGAGCATTTGATATGGACCAGAAGTCTTGGGCTTGCTTTTAAGTCAAGTTCTTCCAAGGAACCACAGTGCCTTTCTTTACTAGGAATATTCCTATTCCAGGAATAGTCATCAGTGCCCTCGATAAAATTTTGAGGCTGCTGTCCTCCTCCACCTCTCTTAAGCTTTGCTTATTCCATATCTCCCCAAACCTGAGTTTTCGGAAAAAGCCTCATGAGTTAGGCGCTTCTTCTGGCCCCTTCCTCCCTCACGCACTGCCTAGTTGGAAAGGAAATCTGGCAGGAATTGTAGATACTTCTTTCACCTTGAGGCAGCTGTTGAGTCTGTAGTACCAGCAAAGAGGAACTGATCAAACCAAGCAAAAGCAGGATGTTTGGATCTGAGGGTGTTTTCACACTCCTTTCTGTCACCCTCCCGGTTTCTGCCATGCTCCTATCAACTTACTCTACCTCTTAATGCTGCTGCTTCTATTTGCTACATTTCTAACAGTTATTACATAACTAAGAAAAAAATACAAGCCATCAGTCTTTTTCCTATTTTTAGTGCTCTAGATACAAATAGCACAAAAATCAACCGAGGCAGGACTGCATAAAGCCCAGTCCATTGCTGGTTTAAGATCTAGACAGTGTTCTATACAAAATTTAAATCTGCAAAGTAAGACAGGAAAACTGGGCTCAAAGAAATGAGGACCACAAAAGCAAACTCATAGTGAATAAAATTTGGTATGTAAAAAAAGTAGGTTGATGAATCAAATTTTAATCAAACATTAAAGTATATGAAATACATATGCAATATACATGTATATGAAAGTATATGAAATATATACATCAGAAAATGAAATGGAAAACATTTGGAAAAAATGTTACTGCATTGTTTAGAAAGTTAATGTAGCTTAATGAAATCTACTTCAGAAATACTTTCTAAATAAAAATCCATTAATATGTACATTGTGTTGGATTAAAACATCGAGTTAAAGTATGTAGAGGTCAGAAAAGTGGGATCATGATCCTCCACCCAAAATAACAGATTAATTGTAGGGATTTCATATGTTCCTTTACTATAGCTAGTTAAGAGGATCACAGCTGCTGGAGTCTAGAGAAGAGCAAGGCTAATTGGAAATAACTTTTTCCTTGAAGAATTTGGAAAGAAAACAGATTCTTTTTGGCCAGACATACACTCTTTAGCAAAAAATATCTGAGTTCAGTTTACCTCTAAACTAAATGTTCCTGTACCTTGGTTTGTTTAAATCTTTTGTTTCCCAAGCTTGTGAACTGGTAAAGTCAAGTGTTGGGAAAGTTTGTTCGGTAAAAAGAATACAGTAAAATTTATTTTGACAGGTAGTGTGAACTCTAAAATTTTTAAAGATTTAAATTAATTGCAATATCATTTTGCTAAAGTTTTAAAAATGTTACAATAGTTTTAAGCACTACTCAATCTCAGGTGAGATTGCCGTTTATCTTTTAAAAGCCCAGTTTTGTTTTTGTTTTTTTTTTTACTCAGCAAACAAACCAAAACCTGTCTCAGGAAGTATATGTAGTCTGTGAGGTAATAAGTGAATTGTTTTAAAATATCTACATAGTCAGCTCGGTGCATACAGTGACTAGCTTTTTTTTTTTTTTTTTTTTTAATCTTATTCTAGTTTTCTGTTTATCTGGAAGACCTCCCCCTCTGTTTTGGGATGGTTTTTGTTTGTTTGGGAGAGGAAGAAGTACCAGTGGATGTGTAAATTTTGTGGTCCGCAGTAGATCCGTTTTTCACTTTGTCATTGCTGTTTTGGTGATAGCTGGGTGCCAAAACTGTATGCTTCAACCCTGCACCAGAAGCAGCTCTCTCTTTTGTTGGGATGATATTTATTTTTGGAGAGTGGATATTTGAACTACTTTGCTTGATTTGACTTGTCAGTTCAATGGAAGGTGATGCTTTGAGTTTTGGGGAGGTTTTTTGGGGGTGGGGCAATTTTGTGCTTGTATATATAACTTTGTACAGTACATTTACTGCAGCTGTTTACTGCCAAGTTACTATAGCCACTTTATAAAACAACTTTAGGAATGAAAAGCCCAATTTTAATAATCAGCTGATTTATTTCCCTTTTATTAGATTTACAACCTTTCCTGTTGGTTTTAATGTAGTAGAAATCTAGGGATAGTTTTGTACCAGCAGTTGTTTTTAAGATATAGAAATGGTTACATCTGATTTCTCTCTTTAAAAAAAAATTTATTTTTTAGTTGTAGTTGGACACAATACCTTTATTTTTAATTATTTTTATCTGGTGTTGAGGATTTAACCCAGGGCCTTGAACATGCTAGGCAAGCGCTCTACTGCTGAACCAACCACAACCCCAGCCCTATATCTGATTTCTCTTATTGGTTGAATTGGTTATTTAAAATTGGTCAGAGAATATTACGCTAAGTGAATTTAGCCAATCCCCAAAAAACAAATGCCGAATGTTTTCTCTGATATAAGGAGGCTGATTCATAGTGGGGTTGGGAGGGAGAGTAAGGGAATATTAGATGAACTCTAGATAGGGCAAAGTGGAGGGAGAGGAGGGGAGGGGGCATTGGGGTAGGAAAAATAGTGGAATGAGATGGACATCATTACCCTAAGTACATGTATGAAGACACATATGGTGTGACTGTACTTTATATACAACCAGATATGAAAAATGATGCACTATATATGTGTAATATGAACTGTAATTCATTCTGCTGTCATATATATAACAAATTAGAATAAAAAATTTTTAAAAAGCCAAAAAATAAAAAATAAAATTGGTCAGCAGTGATATATCAACTCTGTAATCATGTAGATGAGATTGTTCTTAGTTGAGAATTGTGTTAGTAAACCCTGTTAAAGTACAAGTTATAGGGCTGTGGTTGTGGCTCAGAGGTAGAGTGCTCTCCTAGCATGCTTGAGGCACTAAGTTTCAGTCCTCAGCACCACATAAAATAAAATAAAGATTATGTCCACCAATAACTAAAAAATAAAAAGTACAAGTTACAGTTTAAGATTGAAGTTGGCCATTTAGCCATTTTGTTGGATGATGAGGTTTATGCTCTCAAAATTAGTTGCTTAAAAATCAAGATTTTTTTTTTTTTGCTAGCCTTAAGGTTTCTTCTTCATATGATAGAGGTATGTTAAATGTAAGATTGTAGTGCTTCAGTGAACAATTTTATTCGAAAGAAATATACTCTTACGGTTATACTCAGATTAATATCAGATGTCGTCTTAAATTATTAAAGTATTCAGATAACAAATTAATGAGGGAGTAACAATCTAGAGCTCTTTATTTTGAGAATGTTCTTTGACAATTCCAGAATTGGATGTATATACTTTAAATTGATGGTGTTTACTCTTAGACACAGAAAGTAGAATGACATATCTTGGAAATTATTTTGATCAAGGACAAGTTTTCTCCAGTCTTGAATTTATTAACTGAAATAGTAGAGTCATCAAATATGGAATTCTTTGTCTAAGTACATCATGACACCAGTATTATAAAAGTATAAAGTGTATTTTTAGTATTACATTTTATAATTGATATAAATGTGATGATATATAGTTTGTAGCTCACATTGAGCTCTGACTCTTTTTTTTTTTCAAGAGAGAGGAGAGGGAGAGAGAGGGAGGGAGGGAGAGAGAGAGAGAGAGAGAATTATTTATTTATTTTTTTAGTTTTTTGGCGGACACAACATTTTTGTACGTGGTGCTGAGGATCGAACCTGGGCTGCACGCATGCCAGGCGAGCGTGCTACCGCTTGAGCCACATCCCCAGCCCCGAGCTCTGACTCTTGATCCTATTTCTATAGCTATTATAGGTCAGGTTTCTGAACTTCAGCCTTATTGATATTTGGACCTGAACATTTACATGGAGGGATGTTCTGTGCACTGTGGGGTGTTCAGCAGCACCCTTGGCCTCTATCCACTAAATGTTAGGAAGAACCCTCTCAGTTGTGACAACTAAAAATGCCTCCTGATATTACCCATATTCCCTAGAGGGTAAAATTGCCTTTAGTGAGAACCAATGATAATAGATACCTTGATGTTGTTAACTGTTGGGTAGCAATATTTATTAAATGACCTTTGTAGAGTTATGCATTTGTTCAGAGGGAGGGAAAGGAAGCAGAGAAGAAATAGAGGAATGAATAGCTATGAAAATAATTTAGGATTATTTTATAATCTATAGATGTTAATGAAATTTAGGTGATTAGTTAATGGAAATGATGCAGAATAAAGACATTGAAATTCTTTTAGGAACTTTGATGGATTGGGATTTATAAGTCTTGGAGGTATTAGAAGTTATAGTATGATATAACCTTATGGAGAGTATGTGTTTTAAACTATGTAACTATTTGTGTGTGTGTTTATATATCTAGATATCAATATGTATGTATGTATTTAAAGCTGTTTTCTGTCTTTCCTCAAGTTACTTAAGTTAGGGGATGGTTCCTTTGACCAAGAAAGGGAAGAAGGAAAAAATTAGAAAATGTGAAAACAGTAAAAGATCTCAAAATCTTAGAGATTTAGATTTCTATAAATCATCAAAGTGATTCAAAGTCAGGAATGTAAGGACGAATATTCTAGTTGACATAAAATGTGTTACTGGAAAGAAAGGGGGAAAAAAAACTAGTTAGTTTCAGTGAGTGATACTTTTGTTTGGTTGTTTCCTTGTTACTAAAGTCAGCAGGTCAGGGGTCAGGGTGGTTTGTAATCCCAGCAACTAGGGAGGCTGAGACAGGAGGATTACCTATTTGAGGTCAACTTCAGCAGCTTCACAAGACACTCAAAAAATAAAAATGTCTGAGGATATAGCTCAGCATTAAAGCATCCCTGGATTCAATCTTCATTATCTTAAATAAGAATAAAAATAAGAATTACATTCCACACCTTCTTATTGAAGTAGAAATCCTCTTGAGTCAAACTTTTTTGTATTTATATTCCCCCCACCTCCCTAATAACATGAATCTGGTCAGGAAAGATAGGTTGAATTCAGAACAGCTACTTATCAGAAGAGAAAATGTGTGGCAAGAAACTCTTGACTCTTCTTAAGTTTGGACAATTTTCTTAGCAATATTTCAGGTGGGTCCATTCTTACAGAATAGGTTTGTTGTAAATTTTACTTTAAATCTTGTTAGGTATTTCCCAATTAATGCAGTCATTTTATATATAAGGACTCTAAATTAATGAATGTTTTGGTCATAGTTGAGATTGATTTTTCATTTTTTTGCTTTTTGACCTTTTTTCTTTGAATATACAACCCTCTGTAAAGCTGCAAAGACATTAAATGTTCTTTTACAAAATGTAAACATAGTTCTTGGTTTTACTTGTTTCCTGATGATAACTGTCTAATGCCAGTATTTTAATGTACTGTAAGTAACTTTTCTTTTTCTTCCTAGCAAGACATCCTAAAACAAATCCATCAAAATGACACCTTCTCAAGTTACCTTTGAAATAAGAGGAAATCTTTTACCAGGTATTGTACATTTTACTTTAAAACAATTTTTAAAATTAAATGAGCATTTTTCCCTATCTAAATTATTTAAATATGGAGTTGTTATTAAAGTGGTCCTAAATTTTAGATGAAAATATCTATAGCCTTGCTTATCAGAAATGTGCTGTGAGAACAGTAAATGCTTAGGGGAAAACCTTCCTCTAAGTGTCTCATTCTCATGTTTGAGAAAAGCTGTAGATTTATTTAATTTTGCACAGAAGGAAAATGGTTGGGCTGTGATTTTTAAATTAACATGAAAATTAGGGAAATTGTGCTAGCTAGTCCAAGAAGCTGGTGAAATATTTAGCTAAAATAACTTTGGATACTTGTAATTATCTTTTAGTTTTGTAGAAGTACTAAGAGTACTATGAGTAGTCTGTAGAAGTACTATGAGTTAATTTTAGTTTAGATAGCATATCAAAACAGTGCTACATCCAGTTTATGGACCTCTCTCTTTAAAATACTGAGTATACTGGCTACCTTTCAGTTCCTCAAATCTGCTATGTTCCTTCTCCTTTCCTCTTGAGTTTTTCTCAAATGGTTTCCTATGTCTACTCTGTGTCCCCACCCCACTCCCACTCCTAACTTCCACAGTCCACAAGGTAAGGACCCCTGCAAAATTTTCTTAATGTCTGGCACTGTTTTGTAGCATATTCTAAAGATTTTATTAAAATTATTTCAATAATTTTTTATTGTTGTGGGCAGATTGTAAACTCTGTGAAAACATGGTCTTGTTTATGTCAAGTTCCTGCACCTAGCATAGTGCTTGGCACAGACTAGGCGTATAGTAAACATGTATTCAAAGAATAAATTAGTGACTCACTGTGTAGCTAACATCTTTATTCTAGCAACCTTCATGGCAATTGGCAAAGAGTGTGTGTGTGTGTGTTTTCAAGTTCATGTTGTCAAGATTATCTGGTACAGCTCTACCTCTGAGTAGATTTTGCAGTTTGAAGATTGCTAGTCACCTGACTTATTGACTCTAGAGGGCCAAGTGCTCACCTCTGGTCCTCTCCTGGAGAGAAGACAGAAGAACTATATTATACCCTTTAAGGGAGTTGTGAATAGGCAGTTTTAGCTTGAAGGAGCTGGCCATGTCAGGCAGATGGACTGGCCACAGAATTTCAGCTTTATGAGGGGGGACACATTCTCAGGGACTAGAATGAAGTAGATAATTGTGCCTATTGACTCTATAGGTGGGAAGGAGGAAGTAGAGGGATAGGGAAGAGACATGGGAAGACCCCACTCCTACCTTCCATAGCATCCCATCGCCTTGATTTCCTCTTTGCAGCATGATCACTGTTGAATGTGGAGAGTAGGGAGTATGATTAGAAAGAAAAGTGAAAGGGAAGGAACAAGTAAAAAGGATATGTATGGGGGGGAGTCCTCTACAAATTCTCTTTAGTTAGCATTCACATCTTTGTACTGTCTTAAAAATGAGGGCCAGTTAAAGATAGAGGTGGATTTGTTTTAATAAAATGTTTCCTTTTTTTTTCAGAAATGTATTCCCAGGGAATCAGTAGAAATACAAAGTAAAATTGGTAAAATGCAGGCATACCTATATAGATGAGAAGTATTCAGGTGAAAAAATAGTCATTATTAGAGTGAGGAGTACTGGATTTTTCACTGTCTTTGTTTTGAGGGTTTTATAGTTAAATTGCTGCTATTGTCCCATTGATAAAGTTCTTGATTAATAGTTAATAGTCACTATTTGAATTCTTGGAAAACATTGGTTAATATTTCTTTAGAAGGCTTACGTGCATTTAGGGTTTGCCTTTTTAGATTGGAAACTGCCTTGAAGGCAGTAACTGTGGCTTGATCACTTTGTATTCTTGAGTGCTTGTTACTATCTCAGTACGAAGTTGAACAAATGAAGAGAATTTCTTCTGTGTGCCTTCCCATTTTCTCTGACTTTGGTTCTAGAGAGGTGAGTCAAGTTAAATAAAATATAGGTACTAGTGGGTCCCTGGATCTTCCCCATGTTTCCATGTGAAGCTTTTCTATCTTGGCCAAAGAACACACAGCCAGTTGAACTAGTGCAAAGGGTTATTCTTTTCTTGTTTCCTAAACTTGAAATTTGAAACTTTCCTGCTTAGGAAAAGACTTTTGTATTTCTTTAGGCGAAGTTTTTGCGATATGTGGAAGTTATGATGCTTTGGGAAACTGGAATCCACAAAATGCTGTGGCTCTTCTTCCAGAGAACGAGACTGGTGAAAGGTAAGCATGGCAATGTCAGGTTACAGAGTAATTGTGACATTCACATTATAAATGGAGGAACTACTAAGATACTTTAATATACTTTTAATATACTTTATACTAGTGTATAATTTTTCTTTAATTTATGCCAGAATATTACATGTATGCTATTTAAAGAGTGAAATAGTTTTACAAAGTTTTTGTGAAAAACTGGTTTCTCTGTTCCTCAATCTCTTTCCTCTCAACCATTTACTTGACTGGTTCTTTGGATACTTACTGCTAAAGAGCAAAATTGTCTTTTTGGTTTCTCAGTTCAACTTTTTTTAGTTTTGGGGATCAAATCCAGGGCTTCACATGCGTTCTACCCCTGAGGTATATCTCCAGCCCTCAGTACATGTTCTAGATAAGACATCCAATTAATTTTGTTTTCACCTATGAAATTTATATCCTTGAGAAATACAAGATATTAATTAAAAAGATTAGAGAATGGAACACACACTTAGATATCTTAACTAATAAAAAGGAATGTAGCACTAAACAGCACAGATGCAGTGAACTATGTGAAGGGGAATCTGGGTGTCACCAATATTCAGTTAACTAATCTTGGGCAAGTCTAATGTCTGTAGGTCTCAGCTCATCTACCTAGTAAAGGGGTTAGACTCGTAGATAGTCAACAGAGGTGGCCCTTATCCCACTTCTCAATATTTGGAAGTGTTATGCATTGTCTTAAATAGTGTACAAATACATCCAGTGCCACTATAAAAAACCAGCTAAGCAAGCCAAGTGTGGTGGTGCTTGCCTGGAATCCCAGCATCTCTAGAGGCCAAGGCAAGAGGATGACAAATTCAAGGCCAGCCTCAGCAACTTAGTGAGACCCTGTCACAAAACAAAAAATGAAAAGGGCAGGGGATATATTTTAGTGAGAAAGCTTTTATGGATTTAACCCCCATTAACAAAAAATAAAAAAGAAACATCAGGTGAGGTGATTATTTAAGACTCCTTAGGCTCAAAATTAATTTTCCCATAAAGCAATGCTACTAAAAATATGGCTGGTAGACCTATCCAAAGGACTTTTTTTCAATCAGTGATATGAACTGATACCAAATTTTAAAGTGCAGAAATTGAGAGCAAGCATTCAGAAATGAACATGGTTAAACATCGTCTAAGGCTCATCTCATTGAACTACATGTGTAGATGTGGAGTATTGGTCATTGGACACATTGAATAAAACAAATCAGCAGACAAGAACTGGTCCTCTACAGTAGTGGCTTCAGGAGCACGGATGGCAAAATCCAGGAAAACAACAAAGAAAAGTAAATCAGTACCATATTGTGAGCCAAGGAAAGAAAAACAGAAGCACACAGAATACCCCTTTTCCTGTTTGTCAGTCGTGTGATCCACTTTCCCTTCTGGTCCTCAGCTGTTTTTATAGTTAAAGTTTTATTCATAGATGATATTGGTATATACTCCTTGTTAGACTCTCCCAGAGGGACAAGGTGTTTATTTTTTTCAAGTGGCCATTTTTTCTTTGATTTTTCAGATCAATTATTCCTGTCTGCATTGAAACTTTTCTGAACTTTTCTCTAAAACACACTTCTGCTTGTCTTGAATTATTTCAGCCACCCTAGTCAAAGTGACGTGGACCGAATGACACAGTACTTAAACCTATCGAACCTTAAGGGACCAGCCATTTATACATTGCCGATGTATGCCAAAATAAAGCCAGAGTCATAGGGAGTCATATATAGCAGATAAGATAGTGTGAGTGCTTCACAGGGAAAAAGGAAGTGCTTTTCAAGAGTACAAGAGAATCTGCTTGCCTTCAAATGACATTTTTTTTTTTTTTTTAAGAGAGAGAGAGAGAATTTTTAACATTTATTTATTAGTTTTCGGCAGTCACAACATCTTTGTATGTGGTGCTGAGGATCGAACCGGGGCTGCATGCATGCCAGGCGAGCGCGCTACCGCTTGAGCCAAATCCCCAGCCCCAAATGACATTTTTTTGTATTTTAGAAGTATGGCATATCTTTGGGATTTCAATGTGCTCTACCTCTAGGGCCTCTGTGTCCCTCTTGTTCACATTCTCTTTAAGCTTATTACTAGTTTTTGGTGCCAGGTGGTAGCTAGAGCTCTGTTGGAACTTTTTTCCTACTTACAGATCATTTGAAGGTTGTAGTATTGTTTCCTAAGAAGGGTGAAGATGTGGGTCACTTATGATTTTATTTGCTTTTTTTGGATATTTTATTGACACTTTAGGAGAGGATAGGAGCACATTTCAACCCTGTACTCAATTTCATTGCCCTTTTTCCTGAAATTTAATCAGATTATGTTCAATCTTGAATTCACTGAACTCATGAAACAGTTCTGGTTCATTTTTTAACTTAAGAAGCATTTTGTTCAAGAAGTGAAGTAAAAAGACGTGGTGTATTGATTTTTCCATCGCTTTATTTAGTAATTCTTAACCAGAGGAACACAGAGTCACTTTTAAAAAAATACACATGCCTAGATCCTGCTTCTGGATACTGCGAGGTAGTGGATGGGAGAGGAGCACCAGCACATTTTTCAAAGCTTATCACTAATTCTTCTGTGCACATCTGGAGCTAGTTCTATATATTCTGGCTGGCTGCATGCCGTATTCCTGGCAATCTTCCCTCTTCTGCCTTTTTTTAGATATGGTAGCAGCAGAAATAAGTTGATGAATCTACCTGAAGCCCTCTGTTGAAAAGGATTTTGAGGCTTACCCATGTAGAGCATTTGCTATCCTTGCTTTGTAGCAGTGATAGGCAACTGGCCATATACATCTGATTGGCCTGTAAAGTTTTATAAGTTCTGTGTGGCTAGGTGCCACCTAAAGACTCATGAAGTCAGAATCTCCCAGGGTGGATCCTGTGCAGGCAGGCTGGCAGGTAGGCTGGCATACATATAGGCATACACACGTGCACGCGCACACACACAAAAATCATTTGGAGCTGCTGTATGCACTGAACTACTCATGCTGAATTAATGATTAGGTAATGGTCTGTGACTGTGGCTCTCAACCTTAAGTGTTCATCAGAGTCACCTGGAACCTTGTTAAAATATAGACTAGAAGAACCTCTAAAGCACAGGAAATAATGCCAAGCATTAAGAGGGATGACATCAAATTAAAAAGTTCCTGCACAGCAAAAGAAGCAATTGGGAATGTGAAGAGAGAATGTATAGGATGGGAGAAAATCTTTGCTAGCTACTCTTCTGACAGAGGATTAATATCTAGAATAAAGAACTCAAAAAATTTTACATCAAAAAAACCAAATAACCCTGTTAATAAATGGACAAATGAGTTGAATAGATTCTTCTTAAAAGAAGAAATATAAATGACCAAAAAAATATGAAACAATGTTTAACATCATTGGCAGTTAGGGAAGTGCAAGTCAAATTACACTGAGATTTCATCCTATACCACTCAGAAGGGCAGTCATCAGGAATACAAAAAATAATACATGCTAAAGAGGGTGTGAAGAAAAAGGAACACTTTTACATTGGTGAGATTGTAAACACTGTGGAAAACCAGTATGGAGGTTCCTCAAAAAATATGACCCATCCATACCACTCCTTGGTGTGTGTGTGTGTATATATATATCTATCAAAGAATTAAAAGTCATTATACTACAGTGATACATGCATACCCATGTGTATAACAGCATAATTCACAATAGCCAAACTATGGGATCTGTCTAGGTGTCCTCAGTGGATGAATGGATAAAGAAAATGTGGTATATATACACAATGAACTTTTGTTCAGCCATAAAGAAAAATGAAATTATGTCATTTAGAGAAAAATGAATGGAACTAGAGGTGATTAAGCAAAACAAGTCCAACTCAGAAGTTCAAGTGTCATATATATTCTTTCATATCTGGAAGCTGGAAAGGAAAAAGAGAAAGGTGTTTGATAGGGGGAATCTCATGAAAATCAAAGAGAGATCAGTAGAGGAAAGGGGCCAAGTGGGTGGAAGACAGGAAGGGAGTGGGGAAGTGCTGGGGAGTAATCTTGGCCAAATTATATTGTGTGCATGTGTGAATATATAACAATCTCATCATTATGTACAACTATAATTCACCAATTAAAAAATGTGAGTTTCTAATTCAGTAGGTCTGGATGGGTCCTGAGAATCTGCATTTCTAACATGTTTCCAGATGATACTGATACTCCCAGGACTCCACTTTGGATATCAGTGGTCCATCATTTGAAGCTACAAGATCAGTTAAAATCATGAATCACAGTTGAGGCAGCTATAGCATAGTTCAGAGGAAGACATTGAGTTGAAGCAAGTAACAGATACTAAGTGGGTGACTTGGGAATAACTAGAGCCTGAGTAGTAATATGAGTGCAACTTGTCAGTGTTCCCTCCTTACTCGTGACCTAAAGCCTTTCAGCCCAAAGCCTCTTAGCAACCATGTAACATCCCAAGCTAAGTAGGAAGGCAAGAAGATTGTGATATAGGCTTTCACCTTTGCATTACTTGGATTCAGCTCAGATAGTTCTTCATCACTGAGGCCTTTGTTCCAAAGGCATCTCTAAAACTTGGAGTGTATCGCAGGGCACAGTGGTACATGCCTGTAATCCCAGTGGCTCAGGCAAGAGGATCAAAAGTTCAAAGCCAGCCTCATCAACAGTGAGATGTTGAGCAACTCAGTGAGACTCTGTCTCTAAATAAAATACAAAATAGGATTGGGGATGTGACTCAGTGTCGTGCCCCTGAGTTCAATACCTGGTACCCCCTCCCCCCAAAAAAACAAACAAACCATGCAGTGTATCTTGTTTGCTTATTTGTCTGTCCACATAGGAAAGCAAACTCCTTAAAGATGGGGCTGTCCTACAGTATAGCTGTGTTTCTGTTACCTGCTGTAGAGTAGGCCTGTATTAAATTTTGTGTAGGAATAAATGGATGGTATTGGCCACATACTGTATCTGAGAGGTTTTGTGAACTGTGAGTTGTTTATGTATAATTTTAGTTTGATATTGATGCTGCTTTGATTTTTTTTCCCCCCTCACAGCATGTTATGGAAAGCAACCATTAAACTCACTAGAGGCATATCAGTTCAATATCGCTACTTCAGAGGGTGCTTTTTAGAACCAAAGGTATGTTTTCTTTATCTAGTTTCCAATTTCTTTATTATTTGCTTATTTCAAAAGCAACTAGCTTAACTTTGAAAACATTAAAAATAAAATGAGTTTGTTTTGGTCAAATAAGGAATGGAGTTCTCAATAACATTTTAGTACCAAAACCCAAGTAAGTAGCCACTTCAGAGGCAGATGTTGTCTGCCATGGAATTTTTAAAAGACTGATAGTAAGTATCTTCTGCAATATTCTTATCATGAAATTTGTTTTAATGATGAATGTTCTGTAGGTTTGCATTTTTGGTAACTTTTGTAAGTTAGTAATCAGTTACAAAGGTTTTTCTTTTTCTTTTTTTTTTTTTTTAATTTTATACCATGTAGATATATTAAGAGGAGAACGTAGCCAGCTTTAAATGGTTAATTGTTTTAAAAAATTATTTCCCAGCAGTCATCTCTTAGTGACTGTGTTATTTAACTCCTATCAATATTGAAGTGATTCCTCCTAGATTTTTTTTACAAGGTAGTATTGATTGGCCAGGATCTTTTCTGAAAGTCTTTGGAATATCTGTTAATTCTCAATCTGCCTTTTCAGGTGATTTATTATTTTGGGATTGTTTTCATATTTAGATAAGAATAAAAGTTGATTCTTTTTCTCTTAGTCTACAGATACTTATTTGCTGAAAGGATTCTTTTCCTTCAGATTTTTACCTTTGACACTCTTAGGCTGCATGTGAACAAGAGTTTAGGCAGGGATCTAGGAAAAACACAGATTAGATCTTTTTAAAAAAGTATTTCCCTTGGGAGTCATTAGATTCTTTTGCTACATGTGAAAAATGCAAGCAGTCACTGTTACCTCATTTTCTTAGCCACCATTACAAAGAAGAAAGAAAACTGACAACCCCATTTCAGCTGTCTTTTGCACCTATTACGTTTTTTATTCCGAGTACTTTGTAAATACTAAGTAATTGAATTTAAATTACATTATGGTTGATCATTGTGTTGGCTTATCTTGACAATGATCTCACTTTAACAACCTAAGAAAAGAGCATCTATTATTTATTTGCATAGGGCCACAACACCATGGTGAAGATTTTCAGTATAAATTGAACTATTGTGTCTAGCTACATAGGCCACAATACTCCTGACTTTGGAAGTTTGAGAATCCTGGTGTGTGAAATCTAGCTTTGTATCATAGTAAATCAACTAAATTTTACTTGGAATTTGGAAAAGAAAAATCACAATAAGTCCTCGACATAGTTTTCTAAAGTAAGACTATTGTCAACAGGTAAAATTAAGCCAACCTGTAATATTTTCTACACTTCATTGAAAATGTAACCAAAATAGCAATCAGTCCAAAATGCCATTTTGAAAAATTGGCAAGAAGTCTCTTGAACAGTAAAACAAACAAATAAATAACAAACAAACAAACAAAAAACACAAGTTTATCCCCATGTAATACTTGCAAAAGTTTACAGTATGTGTTGGTGAGTGTGTTTCTTTAAGTAGGTGCTTGCTCTGTATCGTGTACACATGTACCGTGTGATGCAGGGGCTGCCATGGTAAGTATGTTTTTCATGGAATAGAGTAAATAGCTGCATAAAATCCCATGTATATGGCTATTTTTCCACATGCTGGCTTAAAGTGATACTTATTTTAAAATAAGTCTGTGGCACTTTTTAAATGAAACATTTTTACTATAAGTATTATCAAAGTTTGTCTCAATTGTGTATTGTCAAATGATAAATGTAATGTGCAGGGAATCTTAAATCAAGAAATGATTTAAATTAATGGATTATATTTTTATGATCATAAATAATGATAGGAAAGCAAAACAATGATGAAAATATTAAAAAACCGTTATGGGAAGTAATATTAATTTTATTGGATCAAAAGTTTAGGGGGTACTCTAACTAGGCAGTTGTAGAACCTAAGCTAAAAATCTGTTATTTTTGGACAAGTCACTTGGCTTGTATAGTTTAGCTGCTTTCAACTGTAAAATGAAGGGTTTGAACTCCAGGTTTCTTAGATTCCTTTCATTACTAAAATTTTATTGTGAGCAAATAAAATTTTACCATTTACATTTTCTCGTCCATACTTTGCTTTTTTTGGCATGTTCCTTTTAGTTTAGAATTTGAGCTCTGAAGTCCTTTTTTCTCAGATATGTATTTTTACATTTTGTAAAATTAGAGTGAGGTGTTGATATGTTGAATCTTAAAATAATTTTACACGTGACAAGGCAAACTACTATCTTACTTAAGCTTAGCAAATAAAAGTAATGAGTATTCCTGAATGAAAACATTTGAGTCTACAGTCCCATTAATGTCACATCTTCACCAAAGATACTTTTGAATTTTCATGTAATTTAAACATTTTTTTCTTTATTCATGTTCACCCCTCTTTGCTGGTAACTAGAATTAGGGGTGTTTTCTCATTGTGAAATGTTAGCCAGTTTTTAATTATCCTTTGAAGGCTTTGTTCTTTTTTTGTGTGAAAGTAGGTCTTTATGTTTCAGTAACACGTCTATTTCTAATGTTTACAGGTGCTAACATTCAGTTAGATTCAATACAAATTCTTATTTTGATCTTAATCTCCCTTGATTTTTCTTTAAATCCTTGAACAAGAAAATCATCTGTCAGAGGTCGATAATTGTTAATTTTTAAAATAGCTTAGGTTGTCATTTTGTGGAATGGTTTCTTATTATAGTGAAGTTCTGTGTGCTAACTGCTCCTAGCTATCCACTTGAGATTTGAGCCACCTTAGAGATATACCTGTTGACCTAGCTTCCTCAGTTCTAATCAGTTCTCATCAGTGACCATTTTTCTTACTGGTCTTACAAAAACTAGTGATTTTTTAAAATAGCAGTGCGTTTGGCTTCTGTATGACTTCATAAATAAAAATTACTCAGTCCTCTTTTACATACAAAATTGTGGTAAAAATGTTGGAAGTTCATATCTGCAGTGATAGAATTCACTGATAATTTTGCTTACTGGTTTGTTCAGAAACAAACCCCTAGTCAATGTGTTGAACAATCTTATTTCCTTCTCAGTGCTTGATGTAGCCAAGTAATGTCACTGTTTAAGAAAGCAATAATTAAGATTTTTTTCCCAGAAACAAATTGATTTTAAATGTTTTTAAATGTTTTTGTTAACATACATATTCAAAAACATTCCTATATTCATCTGATTTTAGATATACTAAATGTGAAATAACTCTATTAGTACTGTTTTATTGTCTTGGACTGGTATTCTTCCTTTTTTCTTCCAAAGATCCACCTTCTACCTTACTCTGAAAACTTAAAATCATTGCAGTATTTTGCAGAATAGAACTGTTCGTTTTCTAAAATGTTGACGAATGAATTATTATAGTTAGTATATTAAAAAGAACGGCATGTTTGAGAATTTGAATTTCCCAATATTTAGGTTTAGCTTTTATTTTTTAAAAGGACTTCAGTAAAGCTAAAATTTAAGATTACCTTCTCAAGTTTAATAAAGTAGTAATATCAATTTTGGAAGTTAAGATGTATTTTAAGAGTAGGTTCCCCCCTTTTTTTTTGGTTATTATATCACTTTGTATACCAGCCAACATGGATTTGTAATGTGAATGCTAGTGAACATCATCTTAAAAATCATCTGTTGAGCTGTACTTATGGACTGCCCCTCAGACACACTATTCAAGAACTGGGAATGTAGCTTAGTGGTTGAGTGCATGCTCAAGGCCCTGGGTTTGATTCCTGGCACTGCAAAAAATAAATAAATAAACAAACAGAAAAACAGCTCTGGGGCTAAAGATATAGCTCAGTTGTTAGAGTGCTTGCCTTGCATGCACAAGGCCCTGAGTTCAACCTCTAGCACCACATTATTTCTAGGTGATTTTATGGCATGAGTGATGGGTTTGTTACTAAAATAGATGAGTGGGAATATTAAAGTTGCTACTAAATAAGTTTCCTATCAAATATTTTAATACATACACAGAACTGTCCTTACGAGATAGACCAGTCTGAATTTTATGTTCTCCTGACACTTGAATTAAAAGAATGAAAAAAATCTTTTTCTGTATTCACATTTTTATTCCTGTTGACATATTAACAGCACGCCTTTCAAATCTAGTAATTTTTATGAGAATGTAATCCCATATAATTTGGGGGGAGAGGTGAAAGAAAGGCATAGATCATTTTGGCTGTTTTTCATTAGTAAAAAAAATTGTTCCTTTTTTTTTTGATACTTGGGATTGAATCTGTGGGTGCTTTATTACTGACCTGCCTCCCCACTCCTTTTTTATTTTGAGATGGGGTCTTGCATACTTGCTTAAGGCCTGGCTGAGTTGTTGAGGCTGACTTTGAACTTTTAATCTCTTGCCTCAGCCTCCTGAGTTGATAGAATTATAGGCATTCACCACCAAGCCTGGCTTTGTTCCTATTTTTAATGTATATATGTTTCTCTCTTTTATGGGTTAAAAGTTAAATGTTTAAAAAACAAACTTAAAATATATATCAGGAAAGAAGTTGTATTAAAAAATATCTAGTGGAAGGAAAATACATGTATTTCCTCTTAATATAATGGAAATGATATTCACATTTAAGATGAGTAGTTTAACATTATTATACTTTTTTTTTTAATCTACTCAGTCTACCAATTTGTAAATAAACCCTTACAGCAAGGAGGTATTTAGCTAGAGAAAGATCATTTCATTTATAAATTTAGGATTAACAATTTCAGTGAATAATGCTGTTGTAGTTTTTAAGCTTCAAAAGTTGCAAATTTAAAAAATTAACCTGGTTATTTGAAGTGATTGAATTATCTCATGTTTAATTAATAATGTCCCTCATTTGTTACATACTTGTTATCATTTGGCACACTTATCAAATATAGTCAATCAGTATTAAAATCCAGTAAGATATGTAGAAGAGTGTTTGACATCATCTAAAGATGTACACTCTAGAGATGGAAACTGTATGTTCCAGTATTTTTAGTATATGCTTAGGAAAGAGCTCAAAAGGTTTATATGAAAATATTGATAATGATTATCCCAAAATTATGTGCTACTAGATTTTTATATAATTATGTAATTGAATTTCTTTAGAATAAGTAAATAAAAAATAACAGTATCTTGAATTTTGAAATTTTGCTTTTAAAATGTGTATTGAAGGGGCTGGGGTTGTGGCTCAGTGGTAGAGCACTTGCCTTACATGCATGAAGCACTGGGTTTGATCCTTGGCACCACATAAAAATAAATAAATAAAATAAAGGTATTGTGTCCATCTACAACTAAAATTTTAATTAAAAAATTTTTTAAAAAATGTGTACTTAACAGCTTTATTTTAATTTTAATTATTTAATTTTAATTATTTAAGATTCTTAATTAAAGAGTACAATACTATAAAATTTCAGTCTTTTAGATATATTCAGGGAACCTGAACATACTTTAAAATTGTTGTATGTTAACACATACAGCTTTATTTTTTTCTTTTTTAGTAAAGGAATGTGATACCAGAAGACAGTATTAGGAATTGTCACAGTGTATGAATTTATAAACTCTTAGGCATAAGAATTAAATTTGGACATTAATTCCCCTATTATCACACTTGTTCTTCAGGTTTACCTGCCCTGTGTCCTTTCTTTAACGGGTTTTCTGTCTTTAAAGACACTGGTCAGAAATCTGATGTTCTTATTATTTCCCACTTAGTGTTCTTCAATAAATGTAATGAAAAACTTTATTATGCCTTTTAATTCTTTGAGTAACTTGTGATAATTGATCTCAAAGTACTCATTCCTACTATTTCTCATATTGTAGTCTTGTTTAAAGTGTTTTCCAAACACTTTCTTAAATAGAGGAGGGAGATGAATGTTTTATCTGGCAGTTCCTATGCTTGCCAACATTCCAGAGTATATTTGATATTAACTTATGACAGAAATAATATCAGATCAAAATGAAAATTTATTTGGAAAAAATTGAGTATTGTAGGCTCATTTATGAATGGGTTTAAGAGAGTTTTGTGTGCCAGTTCATCTCGTTTTTCTTTATTTACTGCCTCACTTTTTATTTTTTTTCCAGCATTACATCATATTTTGTAACCTGGGTACATTCTTGATTTTGGCATATAATATTGATAATTACCTAGATGAATCTCTTGGTCTCATATTTAGTATAAGATTTAGGCCACAAACATCTAATGGAGTCATGGGTAGAAAATAAGATATAAGAAATTATTGCAGACGTTTAACTTTTAAATTGCAGACTATCGGTGGTCCATGTCAAGTCATAGTTCACAAGTGGGAGACTCATCTACAACCACGATCAATAACCCCTTTAGGTATGGGCATTAACTGCATCTGTTTGAGGCATATGCATAAGTTACTAATATGCTGCACAATGGCTTAGTGGGATTTAATAAATTTTTATTCTAAAGTTTAAAATTAATGCATTGTTAGTACTACAAATTTCACTTAGCGTTTCATGAATCTTATTTTCAAAACTAAACAGTTATTAATTGCCTTTACAAATTTTATTAGAAATGCTTGCCTAGTTATTTTTGTTTTCTTGGATTAGATTAGTTTATTATGAAATACTTGCTTTCATTTTGAAGGGTTAGGAAGTTTATAACATTCTTCTTGACTGAGCATCCATGGCTTTATTTGATTGCTTGCTCAGGCTTAGTAAAAGAACATTTGATGAATGAATTAATCCAAAACAAAAACTTCATAACTTTTAGCTTTGAATAGTAAAGGTACTAGAATAAATTATTCTTTTTTTAAATGAGTAAATACTTGGATAAACTTGTATGAGTGAATTCAGATATCTTTGTAGTTGACATAGATTCTTGCTAGTTTATTTAAATTCTTGCTAGTTTATTTAAATTCCCTGCTGCCTTTGGAAGTGGTAATCCCAAGAGTTTGGTTTTATTCAGCTTTCTTGTGCCTAAAAATGGCATTTCTCTTCATACAAATATTTTTGAATTTCCTTTTCCATACTGAAAGTGGAATTTGAAGTTCATTTTACATACATTAAGTTACCCACTTGTATTCATCTATATATTAACGTAGTGCTGAAAAATGTATCTTTCAGTTCCTAGGCAGTTAAAATCTAAGAATGATAACTCATTTACTAATTTACTAGCTTACATTAATAAGGAGTAGGAGTTTCTGCTTTACCTTATATCAGGACACATCTTGTTTAAATAGATGTCTCATTCCATCCTCTTTATTGGATTTTCTTTTTATGTGTTTTATTGCATTTTTAATAGTGTAATTAGAATCTTTATGGTAGTATACTTAGAATTATAATAGTCCCATACTGAGGTTGGAACTTACTAGGTATTGAACATTTTAAGAAGTAATTTGCATTTGAAGCATCTTGTAGTTAAATACATTGTCTTATTGTGAGAAGTGAAATGATTTTGTTTCTTCTCTTTTAGAAAGAAATATATTCTATATAATTTTTAAACTTAGAAGCTGTGTGAAATCTACCAGAAAATTTGCACTAGCAACTGTAATACTTTAACAAGTATTTCAAACTCATGTTTAAATGAATATGGGAAGGGAAGTAGGAGGGAAAGACAATTAGTATTTAGAGGCTTGGATCTCAAAGCTTTTCTCATTTATTTGAATGTTAGGTGAAGGGGATATGCTAGCATTTATTCTTTTTTTGGTAGTTCCTCACAGCTCTGTATATGCAGGTAAGTTATACTGTTTGTAAAGCTTTTAGCTGGCTACAGATTATAGTTGGGATTTGAGAAGAATTACATTTTAGACAAGTTCAGAATATACACTGCACAAGAATAAGCATTTTAATTGTGCCAAGACTTTTGTTTTGAAAATTCACAAGGAGTTACCATTGTCCAGCAACCTGTTTTGTATATTGGTGGGTGTAGAAGTTCATCCCAGTGCCTCTAGAGCACCTCTCTGTGGAGTTTTCTTTCACTTCCTTATGTTATCATGGATAATGACAAAGTCTGTAAGAACTGTACTACTTGTTAGTCTCTTTAAAGGGAAATTCTTTATAGAGGGCTACAATAAATATGCTTATTCACTTTATGCTGCTTTTAAGTTGTAGAAAAACTTTAATATTTTAAACAGTCCTTAAAGTTTAATTTCTCAGTCGTTCATTTTTTAAACATTATGAATTTTAACGATGTCTTCTATTTTCCTTGAATTCTAGAAAATGAAATTATTATTGATGATGGACAATTTGGAATCCACAGTAAGTGAGAGTGAATTTTGAAATGTCCACTGATGTTTTTTGTGTGTATACACGTGTGTGTGTATATATATATATTTACACACACACACACACACACACACATATATATATATATATATATATATATATATATATATATAATATGTCTTTTAAAAGTTCTGTTGATGAAAAACCTTAGGTCTAGTTGACAGCTTCTTTGTTATTTATGAAAATTGTATTATATATAAATTTTATTATATATAAACTTCAAGTTAAAAATTGGTAAAACAATACTATTACAAATGTGACTTTTTTATGGCAGGATATATAAATAGGAGTCTGTAAAACTATAAAAGTTTTGTTCTTACCTTCTCGTATCTCAAACCCAGACTAGTGGCATAAGTAGTTTCAACTAAAAGTTTCTTATGGAACTTTGGGAATGTAATGATCCCTAATGGAACTATTGCTATGTTAGAAATCATTTTGGAACATGTTCTCTTTCATTGTAGATATGGATTACTTCAATAATGGATTTGATAAGAAGGCTTTAATTTACTAAAGTTGTTAAAGAATAGTTCATTGTTAATAGTCATTTAAATTCTCCCAATCATATAAAAGTTCTTTTTTAATGACAAATTTAAGGCTACAAGTATATTTACTTTGGAGGTGGTGTGTGACAAGGCCAGTGTTTTATAACCTCAGTGTATTAAAATGTGAATTTGAACTAGCATTAAAATAATTACTATTCTATCTGTTTACTCTTGACAGATGGTGTTGAAACTCTGGATTCTGGGTGGCTGACGTGTCAGACTGAAATAAGATTACGTTTGCATTATTCTGAAAAACCTCCAGTCTCAATAACCAAGAAAAAATTTAAAAAGTCTAGATTTAGGTATGACTATGTGCTTTTATTACTTAGCCCCCCCCCCCTTTTAAAAAAAGAATGCTGTAGAGTTTGGATCCATTTTGTTTTAGCCTTTAAGGGAATAAAATAACACAGCTGTTGTCACATTTTCTAATAATCCTAGAGATCTGTGATAGTGAATTGCTTTTCCCCCATAGATCACTACTGTTACATATATTTATGTTAGTATCTTTTTTTTCCCCCCCTTATGGTACTGGTGATTTAAACTAAGGGTGCTCTTCTACTGAACTATATCCCAAGCCCTTTTTATATTTTATTTTGAGATGGTCTCACTAAGTTGCCCAGGCTGTCTGTGAACTTGAGATCCTCCTGCCTCAGCCTCCTGGATACTGGTTACGTGTGTGTACTACCACAGACCTGTAATCCTATCACAGTATCAGTGTTGAATCTCAAAATTTTGAACCAGAAAAGTTAGTTTTTACAAAGATCAGTGGTTTCTAAGCTTGTGTATTTTTGTAATTTCTATCATTTAATATTTCTTAGTGTAGTAATAATTTGTTTTAAAATGAACGTAACAAATGATTTTGTGCTGAGGAGGGAATAGCATAAATAGAAAAAAAATTATTGGAAATCTTTCAGAGATTTAAACTTTACAGTGATTTGAAAATGGAACATTTCCATGAAGAAAGGTAGCAGTTTCAGAGTTTTTGTTTTTTTTTGTACCAGGGATTGAACATCTAGAGGCATTTAACCACCAAGGCACATCCCCAGCCTCCCCTCCCCCACACTTTAAAATTTCTCTTTTCTTTGAGACAGGAACTCAGTAAGTTGCTGAGGCTAGCCTAAAACTCTGTCCTCTTGCCTCAGCCTCCTGAGTTGTTGCTGGGATTATGGGCGTGTGCTTATGCCTGGCTAGATTTTTTTTTTAAAGTTGCTTCAGTTTTAGAGATAGAAATAAAGCTTTGTAAATGGTTAAATCGTAGCTTCTTTTTTCTGTGATATTATTGTATATATCTATGAGTGAACTGGCTTAAGACGCAGGGAGCCCTACACTAGAATTTTTGTGACTTTGGGACTGAAATATGTACCATAGCTTGATTGTATAACACAGCTTTTTCTGAATAAGATGTCAGGAGTGGGTTGAAAGTAACTGAAGATGTTTATCTTTTTAATAGCATTCATAATGATACTGATGTCTGTAAGTCCTTAAATATTTTAACTGTCTAAATATTACAGCACTTTTATCCTGATCATAGACAAGGAAAAGTGTGGGTGGCACTTCACAGCCCTTTGTGTTGGCTGTTCTGATAGAGTATAGGGTTTGGGGTGTGTGTACCTTGTCCTCCACATGGTCAATCTACAAGATCCACTGGACCTCAAACTCTTTAATAGTTATCTATACATATTTTAGTATTTTGCTTACTTGTTATTTTAAAAGAAGCAAATTACAGCTGTAAACTGACTAACAGAATAAGACATAGAAATAACAATATAAGGAAAAACCTTGGTTGGTTAGCTTATTAGTACTTTTATTTCCCTTGGATGCAGTTAAGCAATTAATAGCTAGGCATGGTAGCACATGCCACTTCTCTCAGTGATGGGGTTGGAGAGCTAAGGCAGGAGGAGGATTGCAAGTTTGAGGCCGGCCTCATCAATTTAATGAGACTTTGTCTCAAAATAAAAAGGACTTGGGATGTAGGTCAATGGTAAAGTGCCCTTGGCATCAGTCCCCAGCACAAAAAACAAATGTTTGGGATCTGATTTGGAATACAAATGAATACTGAGTCTTAAGGACATTCTTTGACTGTATATATTATTGAGTTGCTTAGGCTTAAATTAAAATGAAATGTACTTAGTTGGAGTCTACCTATTAAATGACTTAATTCTAGAAATTAGTGCTTGTTCCAATGATCTTTTTCCCCAAATTCATTTTAGTGCTAGACTAAGCCTTCATGGAGTAGGAAATAAAATTTATCTGTGAGGATTTCAGTATTTTAAAAACTTGGCAACAGCTTATATACTTTGTTTTATTTATTGTTTTGTGCTACAAGGGATTTAACCCAGGGGGACTCTACTACTATGGGGCACACTATTATTAAGCTATGTCCCCAGCCCTTTTTGTTTTCCTGTCTCAGCCTCCTGTGTTACTGGGATTGCATATGTGTGCCTCTATACCTGGCCAGCTTATGCATTTTTAGAATAAAATAGTGAGCATGCACTTTGTTATCAACAAGTTTTAAACAGTCCTTCCTTCCTTCCTTCCTTCCTTCCTTCCTTCCTTCCTTCCTTCCTTTCTCTTTCTCTCTTTCCTTCTCATTGTTTCTTTCTCTTTATCTCTCTCTCCCTCTCCCTCTCTCCCTGTCTCTCTCTCTCTCTCCCCCCCCCTTCCTCTCCCTCCCTCTCCCTCCTCCCCCTCCAGGGGCAATCAACAACTGGGCCACATTCACAGCCCTTTTTAATTTTTTATTTTGAGACAGGGTCTCGCTAAATTGCTGAGGCTCTCTTTGAACTTGCAATAATCCTGCCTCAGCCTCCCAAGCTGCTGGGATTATAGACAGGCACCACTGTACTTGGCCCCCACATTTCTTTTTGATTGATTATACTAGCAAATGAAAAGCAATGGAGATGTCTCTTTGTTGCAGAGTATAACATATATATAGCTATTTGACGAAAACATTTAATACAAATAAAATGAATTAAGTTTTATCATAGGTCCTGTCCCTTTAAGTTTGTTTATTTATTTTTCAAAAATGACTGTCTTGCCTACTAATTTCTTTCCATTTGTAGTTTCTTCATGTACCTCAGGGGAGAATGTTCCTTCAGGTTTACCAATAGAATCAATCTTCCAGAATCATTCCCAAGACAATTTGTTTTCTGGAAAGATGATGATTTTTGTGTTGAGTTATTGAAATACTACTTTAGATTTTATTGAGTGATTATAGACAGTATTATTAATGGAATAATCTATATGTCTGAAACCTCAGGAAAAAACTGTTAAGACAAAGCCTCAGCAGGGCTGGAGATGTAGCTCACTTGGTAGAATGCTTGCCTCGCATGCATAAGGCCCTGAGTTTAATCCCTAGCCCAGCAAAATACAAAGACAAAGCCTCAGCAGTGATTAGGAGGAGGGAGGTCAGGGTGGGCCACTATTGTAATTATTTGCATTCTATATTAAATCTCATTTAAGTGTCAAATGAAAAATTGTTGTAGTTTACCTATTACTCTCTATAATAACTTTGCATCCTATATTAACATTCAGATTGTTTAATCTATATGTGATTTAGTTGGTACAAGAAATATTCCAGAATTGAATTTACTTTTGGTATTACACATATTTTGTGTAAGTAATTGCTTTTTCATTGGGAGTAGATCAATCTTTGTGACCCCTATGGCTGGATAACTGGTATTTGTTTTCATTACTGTGAGACCAGTGAGAGGACTTCTTGGATTATTTGTTTCCTTTATTAAAAAGGCATAGGCTGGGGTTGTGGCTCAGCGGTAGAGCGCTTGCTTAGCATGTGCAAGGCCCTGGGTTTGATCCTCGGCACCACATAAAAATAAATAAGTAAAATAAAGATATTAAAAAAACTTATACTGTTCTGTCCAAAGATAAAAAACAACCTTAGTGTAGGCATAATGGATACCTATCTCATTTTAATATCTTGTAGAAATGTTTGTAGATAAAGCACATCTAATGCCTTAATCTATTTGTAGTCTTAATGTAATATCTTATTTTTGTTATTTGAGCATGTTGGAATGACACTTTTTTTTTTTTTGGTGGTACTGGGGATTGGAACAAGGGACTTATGCATGTGAGGCAAGCAGTCTACCAAGTGAGCTATATCCCTGGCCAGCGAACACTTAGGTTTAAGTAACATTTCTATGAAGTTATATTCTATGCCACTTTTGCATTTCGTTATTCTTTCCTATTTTTCAGGGTAAAGCTTACACTAGAGGGTCCAGAGGAAGATGATGATGATAGGGTGTCTCCCACTCTTCTTCACAAAATGTCCAATACCTTGGAGATATCTTTAATAAGTGACAATGAGTTCAAGTGCAGGCATTCACAGCCAGAATGTGGTTATGGCTTACAGCCTGATCGCTGGACAGAGTATAGCATACAGACAATGGAACCAGATAACCTGGAACTAATCTTTGATTTTTTTGAGGTGAGTAGTTTTAGGGAAGGTGTTGAAAAAGAATGCAAGCATGAGCTTACTGATTTGTGTAAAGCCATGATTTATAAGAACTCTTTAGGTGTTGGCTCCTATATAATTTTAGTAGATTTTAAAAACTCAGAGGTGACAAATTTTAAGTACTATTAGGAAAACAATTAAGAAAACTGCAGTAGAATTGATGTTTTAAATCAAGACTGGATTTGTTTTTGTCCATGCCTCTTAATCTAAATATAAATGAAATATATCTAAAGGAGCTTTCAAAGATAAGTTGAGGGCCAGGAAGGCTGTGTGACCCTTGGCAGATAATCTGATGTAATTAGCATTATTGAATCCTCTTCATGGTAAAAATCTGTCTTTCACTGAGGTATTTTATTACGAGGATTTGTTGTGACAGTGGACTATGTAATTTTACTCAGTGTTATAAATGTGTAATAAATCTAGTTAGAAAGTTTGTGCTAGATTATGCAGAATCAGTGCTGCCAACTTTCCAAAGCTACTTGTGTTAACTTACACTAAAACTTGTTATCTCACTAGCTGTTCAGATGCTCTCACAAATAATACCTGGTGTACCTCCCTAAGGTCCTTACTACAGTGTGATATGGTTTAGTGGTTAAGCACCCCTGGGTTCAATCCCCAGTACCCCTCTCTCCCACCCTTCCCAATAAAAACCTCTTAAACACCTAACTTTTCATTTGGTTGGCATTTTTAGAAACAACTGTTTTTTTTTTTTTTTTTCATAGATAAGGCTGATAAATACCAACTGTAATCTGAAAACATGTACTTGGTCTCCTTGGGAGTTACTATCCCTAGAGGCCACCATGTGGACATGTTTGTAGAGAACGTAATTTACATTATAATTTATTAGAAGTGTATATCTTGGTCTTTCATTGTAAAGTGTTTAGAGATTTTCAGACTGTGCTTTATATTCACCTAATACATATTAGATCAGAAGTGAAGAAAATATATCATTTAGAACAAAAAAGCTATCTAAATTACCTGGATATAAGTTTGATTATTTCTTCCTCATCAGTCCTTCATAGACTATCAGTTGATTTTAAGAGAGTTCTTTGATCATGAATTTAAAACATTTAAGAATTCAGAGTATTCTGTCTGAATCTCATTTTTTCAGGAAGATCTCAGTGAACATGTAGTTCAGGGTGATGCCCTTCCTGGACATGTGGGCACAGCCTGTCTCTTATCATCCACCATTGCGGAGAGTGGGAAGAGTGCTGGAATTCTTACTCTTCCCATCATGAGCAGAAATTCCAGGAAAACAATAGGCAAAGTGAGAGGTAAGTTTAGAAAAATAGGCAAGTCCTGACAAGTAAAGCTAAGGTTAAGTTAGAACTTTCATTATTTCTAAATTGAGGCTTTGAGAATGGTAATGATTAATAATTTACATTATTAACATAAGAATTTAGATTAACTAATATAATAAGAAGTTAAGTATGTTTATTGAATTTTCTACAACTTTGAATCAATTTTGACTTATTTTCTATTTGATAGAGATTAATTAAACCGGTTTAAGTGCTTTTTAAATGTCATTGAGCTCATAATGAACTTTTTAACCATTTTTCTTTGTCCCTCCCTCTTTCTTCCTATGGAAGTTGACTTTATCATTATTAAGCCATTACCAGGATACAACTGTGACATGAAATCTTCATTTTCTAAGTATTGGAAGCCAAGAATACCACTGGATGTTGGACACAGAGGTGCAGGGAACTCGACAACAACTGCCCAGTAGGTTGAATATTTGCATAGAATTGGCATTCAGTAGTTCATAAGGTTAGATTGGTTTGACCCACAAAAGGGTCAGATGATGCTTTTATTATCATCTGGGGAATTAAATGTAATTTCACAATCAGGATTACCAATTCAAAATAATTAAAGCCCAACTCTAATCTCCTAAGATTCTGATTAGTCTTTGATATTATACTGAATTGATGATGAGAAAGACATTAGAACCACAAAGCCAGGAAGTAAAGCTTGCTCTTGAGAATCTGTGTCTTTCTTGATTTGGGTACATTGCCATTCTTTAAAATGGAAGGGTTTGGATGTTCCCTAGTGTTCTGCTCCTGGTTAAGTATCCATGACTCCAAGAAAGTTTAAGTAAACTCAGGGTGTGTTTATTTGTTCAGCCAACACCTCATCAGAAAGATGCCTCATCTCTTCTCAACAGACACACAAATTTCAGCCTGGTACAGTTGGTTGTTCCTTCTAGTTTTGAGTTTTATTTATTTACAAGTACTCTAGCTTGTTGCCATTGGCTTTCTACTGGTAGTTTTAATTCCATTCCTTTTATTTTAAACTGCTGCTGCTGAGTGCTATGGCACATGCCTATAATTCCAGCTACACAGGAGGCTGAGGCAGGAGGAGCACAAGTTCAAAGCCAGTCTTAGTAAGACCCTGTCTCAAAAAATCAAAAGGGCTTTAGATGTGGCTCAGTGGTGAAACACCCCTGGGCTCAATCCCTGGCACCCCAAATAAATAAAGTGATGATGTGATAGCTTTAGGACTTGGTCATGATTATGATTAAGTCTATAAAACAAATCAACTACCATTTAAGAAAGAAGCATCCTTAGGCTCCATCAAAGTAAATTGTCTTCCCTTTTTTTCTTGTTCTTTAAATAAACTTTTCATACTTCTATCCTGTTGGTGTATCAGTGTTTCCCCCACAGTCTGGAGGTTTTATTTCAAAGAACAAGTTTCTACGTCTCTTTTTTCATGACATTGAAAACAATTGTTTTCCTTAATTGGTTACCTTAACTTGTTCCAAGGGGGGGAAAATCCTTATTATAGGAGAAGTATATGTTGTGGTGTAGCATGTGTCTATATTTCAGCTTATAAGTATCTATAGTTGTTAGAGCTTTCATTTATGGAATAAATGTACATTAGCCAAGTGTGGTTACAGTCCTTTTTTTTTTTCCACAGTCATATTTTGGGGATAGCAAAATTAGCTTCAAGATAGAATAAATACTATTTCCATTGTTAAAAATACAGTTGAGGGCTGGGGATATGCTCAGTTGGTAGAGTGCTTGCCTTACATGCACAAGAACCTGGGTTCAATCCCCAGCACCACAAAAAGACAAATAAAATATAGTTGACTTTTTAAAAAATATATAGTTGACTCTTTTTCTGTAGTTTGTGATAGCATGTTTCTTCTCTATTTCAGGCTGGCTAAAGTTCAAGAAAATACTATTGCTTCTTTAAGAAATGCTGCTAGTCATGTAAGTAACCTTATTTCTTTAAATACTTTGGGCTATTCAGTTAGAAAAATGTGGCTCAGGACGATCTCCTCCAGTCTACATTAGTATGTTAAAGAGGAATATTTATGCTTGTTTTGAACATGTTTCTAAGTGAAGACTATGTCTTGGCATTATATTTCAATCCGTGGTAAAGATTGGGATGAGAACAATAAGATCATAAGCATCTTTTTTTCATCTAACAGATTTTGAGTTGTTTTCTTTAAAAAAATTTCCACTAAGCATTGATATTTACTATCTGAATGATGTATTTATTCAGGTATTCACTTTTTTTAAAGGTCAAAACCAGATTGGAATATTTATTTACTGAACAGTGTATGTGCAGCTGGTGTTATGTATATAATAATACAAGGGGCAACTGCTTTCAGGTGGCCACTGTATATACTAAGATTATAAATTGAGGCGGGGTGAGTTTGAACCTACTGGCACAAGACCTTTTTTCTGAGATCTCAGTGGTGTTCTGTTCCCTCCTTTACACTCCTCTCTGGGGCCTGGGATCAAAGCAGCTGACCAGCAATATGGCATGAGGAGTTGGACAGGGCAGCTGTGACTTATGCCCTAAGAATGTGGTACACAGATTGTGTGCACCCCAGCAGGCTCTGTAAAGTTCATCATGGTCCCTTGTATTCCCCCTTTTTTGGGGGGGGGTACTGGGGATTCAACTCAGGGGCACTTAACCACTGAGCCACATTCCTAGCCCTGTTTTATATTTTATCTAGACACAAGATATTTCTGAGTTGCTTTAGGGACTTACTAAGTCAGCTGAGGCTGGCTTTGAACTTGGAATCAATCTTCCTGCCTCAGCTTCCTAAGACACTGGGATTACTGGCATGTGCTATTGCACCCAGCTGGTATTTACTTTTTACCAGATTATGTTACATTTCTTAACTCCTTTCCCAGTCTGATTTTTAGCACCTGCAGTTTGACATTTTTTAGTTGAACCTGGGGTTTCCTCCTTCACCCCTTCCTCTGTGCCTGACCAGAATGTCTCAGGTTCTGAAGTTAAACTAGGGGGAAATGGAGGAAGATCTCATTTTTGTATTTTCACTTGTTTCAGTGTCCTCCAGATCAATTAAACTTTGCCTTCTTAAAAATTGTTCAGCAAGTAATTGGGTGTTTATCACTTTTGTGAACCAACATCTTTTCTGACAGACCTTTTCATATCTTAACCTCTCTGAAATTGGAATAGGTTTTACGGTTTATCTTTGAGTCATGGTTTAACTGGAAACATCCTCACCAGTACTATAATAATGATACATTTTATAATTCATGGCATCCTAAATTAATTATAGTAGTTGTTTGATATTTAAAATTTTAGTAGTTTTATTTTTGTGTTAAAGATTATACTAATTGCTAGGTGTGGTAAGACATGCCTGTAATCTTAGCAGTTCAATCCCAGTACCAAAATAAATAAATAAGTAAATACAGCCCTTATTTATGTATATTGTGGTATATATTTCATAATTTGGAACCAGTTTTATTTAACTGTAGCCAGCTAGTCTAAGTATCATTTAACTAACGGTAAAAACGTGATTGACTGCTGTTTAAAGAATTTTCAGGGTCTCCATGCTTTTTTGGAAGGAGGATTTCATTTACCCTTCTATATTCTGACAAAATCCTTTATAACTCACATGGGTCACATTTGGTAATGTCTTATTTTAATTATTAATTGCTTATTAACTTGCTTTAATGTTAAAAACATAATTTTGAAGGTGTTTTAATCTGTTATTATTTCTTAAAGCTCACGTGAATTTTGGGATTAGATTTTATCTCTTAGTAAAATTTTTCCCAGAAGGATGATATGTACAGCTATGTACGATTAAACATTTAAACTAGAAAGATGTACATTAAAGTGTTAAGTAGGTGTTACTATTTATGGTGGTAGGGTTTGTTCTGTTTGGTAGAAATGGTTTGTGTTTTAATAGAAGTAGCTACATTTTCTGCTTTAGACATCAACAAGGAAGTAGACTTCATAGCCAAATTCTTGAGCTCCTTTGGTTGTAATCATATGTGCTGAGAAGATAGGTACCATTTCATGACTTAGACGCACTGTAAACACTTCTGTTGATCACAAGTCAGTAACATACAGAATTCTCAAATCTTGCTTCCTTTGATCCCAACTTTTGGTGAATGTACACATTTACATGTCAGTTTATGTTCTCAGTCTTTATCTGCATTAATTCAGAGAATAGAATGGATTTTTTTTGGTGATAGGACTCACCATATTGCCCAGGTGAGTCTCTAACTCACTGTCTTTCTGCCTCAACCTCCAGAATAGCTGGGATCACAGGTGCTCACCAAGGCCAGCAAATCTGACTTTTAAAAATATATTCTTAATGCTAATTCATGTCTTCCTCCTAATTTGTTTAGGTCTCCATCCAGGCATTTGGCATGTGCATCATTTTTGTTGCCTGATTTGTTTTATCTGTTCAGGAATAGTTGTAGCTTCTTTAATACACTATTGACATTCTCTAAGAAAGCGAACTAGGAAGCAGAGCAAAGGGTCTCTGGGTTACTCTTTACTCATATCATCTCTGAGGTCTAGCTAATGCTAAAGTATGCAGTGGCAGCAAGGAGGGGAAACCCTGTATTCTAGGTTCCTATTTTATTCCATTTCTGCTAATCGCAATAGCAGAGGTGATACCCATGAATGCTGTCACTGTTACTGACATGCCCTTGGATGTTTATCAGTGGATTCATGTCCACCCCTCTTTTTGGCCAGGTAAAAATTGTGCTTTTACAAAGGAGGGGGGCAGGTAATAAACAGCTTAATATGTAGTATTAAATAATTAGTGTGGTATTTTTGTGTACTGATCTATTAATTTTATAGTAAACATTAAGCTTCTTAATGTTCTTGTGCTTTTAGATGTATTGCACACCAGATAATGTTTTTCTAATACTTGGCTTCCTCCTGTCAGGGTGCAGCCTTTGTAGAATTTGATGTTCACCTTTCAAAAGACTTTGTGCCTGTGGTATATCATGATCTCACCTGTTGTTTGACCATGAAGAAGGTATATGGAAATTCCTTTATTTTAAACTCATTGTTAGCTAAAAGGTGTGAAACGAGGACATTTGTTATATTTTTAGTTATTTATTAACTGGAGTCAGCTCAATTCATTTCTTGGTGAATTATTGCCAGTATTTTCCTGTCTCTAGCTCTGGCAACTTTAAGATAGTGAAGAGATGGGTACTGATTTCCTCAAGTAGGGTCTCTGTTTTGTTCAATTTATATTTTTATTCCAGGTGGTATATGTACCAGTGTTTATTTTCTAAGCCCCCATCTGTTTTTGCTTTATACTGTTTCTCAAATTTATAGGATAGTTTGGTATAAAACAAGAGGAATCACAGTAAAAAATTGAAGGTCCCATTGAAGAAGGAATGGACTTAAGAGCCAGGGAAATATGAAAGACTTTTTAGCTGAGAAGGAAATGTCAAGAACTAAAATCCAGGGTTAATCTTTTAGTAAATAGAAATTTCAGAAAAAACAGACTGGAGGCAAGGGAAGTAGTAATGTGGACCATAGGTACAGTAGGGAAAGGGAGAATGGAGAAGAGGGCATATATGATGGAGAGCAGAATTCAGAATGAGATTTTGAAATCCATATAATTTTAAAAGTTTGTTGTCATTGTACAAACAAAATTGTCATTGTTTTTTCATCCCTGAGCTTCAGTATATACAAATTAACTAAAGTGATTTCTCAGGAACTTAACCTAGGAAGGTTCAATGTAGAACACTGTACCAGATATGTTGTATAAAAGACAACGCACCTGGGTCTGCCTGCTAGTGGATTTAAGAGTTCTTGGGGATTGGGTTGCTATGATAGCTAAAAAAAGATACTTCTGTTTTTGTTAAGTGTTATCAGGAGAGGGAGGGAAGGAAGGAGATACATGTATTCAGATGATGAAAGAAGTAGAATAATTAAAAAGAATGGAGCAAGTAGCTTTTGCTGTGGGAGAACACCATCTCTAAAAATGTTAATTTAGTGAAGAGTTACTGATCTCCAGTTTTCACCAGACTGTCTTGCTTTGACGTTGAAGCTGAATGAGTTAATTGGGGAATGAAAGTAGTGTATGTATTATTTTTAGGTTGATTTTAATTTTAAGCTGGCATTTTTCATATAAAAATTATTTGTCTATTTAAAAATGCAAGTAGTTCAGATTTATGAAATGAAAAAAATAAATCTTCCCCTTTTCCTTGATCTCATTCCCTTATTCTTAATAGTTTCTTGTGTATCCTTCCAGAAAAACTTTAGGCATACACAGGTTCGTACCAGTGTACATGAATAAATATATATGTACTTAATGACTTTTAGCGTGTTTGTTGAATTGATGATTTATTTATTGGAGGTACTCAACTAATTTCCAAAAGATAATGGTACCTCTAACAATGTGATGTTTGCTATGGCATTAAAATCTAGAAGAGTATATTTGCTTGTGGGGGAATCATGATAGATCTGAGTTCTTATTAAATAGTATTGCTTATAAAGCTAATTGCACAGTTTTGTTATGGCAATTTCTTTGCGTGGCTGCTATTTTTATCTAGACTTACATTTGAAAAGTTTTAGAAACTTAGAAACAGAAATTTGCATGTTGATTTCCTAGGCATGTAGCATGGATTATATGTCAAATACAAAGTATATAGCATGATAGAAAGCAGGGGAAAGGATGACTGACAGACATTTCCTTGTGTCCTCAGTTGTGTCTTCAGTGCCACAACTTACTCCCCACAGGCTTTTCTGTCCTGGCATTCCGTGCCTGCTTTGGGGGAAAAAAAAAAAGCCAGGGATTTGGGGGTAGGCTCATTTGTAGAGCATTTGCTTAGCATGTGCAAGAACTTGGGTTTGATCCCTAGCACCGCCTAAAAAAACAAGAGTATAAAACTGGGAGGTAATGTTAGGTAAAAATGATTTTTCTGCATGGGGCTTTCTAATAGTTACTCTTATTATTCAGTTAATTGAAATTATAGGCATATCCAGAGGAAACATTTCAGTAATAATGAAACAGGCCCATTTCTCTCTCTTTTTTTTTTTTTTTTGTGTTTTTTAGAAGTTTGATGCTGATCCAGTTGAATTGTTTGAAATTCCAGTAAAGGAACTAACATTTGACCAACTCCAGTTGTTAAAGGTAGTAACAGTAGCATAAATGTATATTACCATTTCATAAGTTCTACTTACTGATAGATGGCTATGTTTTTCCTGCACACAGGATTGACTAGTTAATATACATAATGTGTGCTTTACTTTTCTGCTATGATTTGGAAGATGCTGATTCATCCATTTTCTCTAACAGTTTTTATGGATGTCATTGATTTTTGTGTTTTTGAAAGAACTAGGCCATATGTCTTTGTAGGCCATAGGGGTTAGCCTTTCACATTCATAATCTTAAATTGCTTTTGTTCTGCAGTAGCCCTTTTCTTTATGGCTGTCTCTGTTTTATAGTTGGCCTTTTATTTGATAGTAGGTTTTGTACAAATGTTGATTAGGATCTTTGTATTTTGGGTTGTACCATGTAGTTTTACATGATTCTTTTTTCCATTCTCATTAGATACATAAATAGTTAAGTATGAGCAGTTTCTGGACTCAGGAATTTTTATATTCTTCTTCCCTACCTGGGCATTTGATCATGACCTTAGGTTTATGATCAAATGACCTTAGGTATATAAATGACCATGACCTTAGGTATATAAAATAATTAGCGTAGTGTTTATTCTTAATAAACTTGTAATTCTACATTTTATATTATTTTCAAAATTCCTGAGTTTTCAAGTTATAGTTCTATTAACCATCTCCTCATAAACCAGGATTTGTTTTTCTCATTGCATGTTGTGTGTTTGTGTCTTCTAGCTTGCCCATGTGACTGCATTAAAATCTAAAGATCGACAAGGTATGCACCAATATGGAAACCTGTTCATGGTCATTTTAATGAATATAATACTGGGCCATCTGAATGTATTTTTATAGATGTGATGGCTATACATGTGTTAATTTTTAACTGAAATATGTCATGTGTAATAACCATTCTGTTATTTTTCTTAGCAAAGCCATCAGAATTCTTCACAATTTTTGTACTTATAAATCTTTCCAAATGTTCTAATCATTATTGTTAGAGTATATCAAGTATAGAATTTGGCTACAGAGCCAGAGTTTGAAACCAGCTCTCTCAAATATCAGCTATGACCTCGGGCAGGTTACTTCAGCACTCTGCCTCCATTTCCTCAAAGCTTGTTGTTGCCTGCCATATCTCTTTGTAATTACACTTTGCTTTCTACTCACCTAGGGTTTAATAGGTTTCCATTCATTTGAGGCTTATTGTATCCTTTTTGAATCCTTTGTGTTTATGTTCTTGCTCTTCAATTAAGCCTCTCAAGTGTAGAAAAATGGTTTCATATTTCTAGAGATCTACTTTCACAGTGTTCTACATTTGATAGGCACTTTAGTAGTTTGTCTGCTGTTGTGTTATTGACACAATATGGATGCCTTTATGAACAAACTGTGAGGTGCTTAAGACTTAAAAGATTATCTCTGAAGCATAATTATAAATGCATAGTGTTACAGATATTTAATGACTGTAAAACTAATTTTGCCTTTAATTTATTCAACTGGAAAAATTTGCATTATTTTAGTTTTAGTTTTTTGAAATATACGTAAATTGGCATTTGTGTTTGTATTTTAAGAAACGTTTGATATTTTAATTTTTTTCTCAGCAAAATTATCTTCTAGATCTCTTAGGATGATTTATTGGTATCTATAGATTATTTTATCTAATTTCTGAGCTGATTTTGATATTTTAAATAGAAGTCTTAGCAAAATAACACAACTCAGTTCCATTGATAAATGACTGATTATTGCTTTTGACTACTTTTAAGAGAGTAGTATTATGATCAGGCACTGTGATGCACACTTGTAATCCTAGCAATTTGGGAAGCTGAGGCAGGGAGATAGCAAGTTGAAGTCCAGCCTGGCAACTTGGGGAGATGCTGTCTCAAAAAGGGTTGGGCATAGCAGCTCAGTGATAAAAGTACCCTTGGGTTCAATCCCCAATGTTTAAAAAAACAATCACTCTTGAGACCACAGACTATGGTGTTTATACTACATGTTTCAAACTAGTCTTTATGAGGGATGCTTGTTTAGAATATGCAGTTCAATGTTGAAAATAATCCAGGAGACTTCAGACGTTTCAGACATTAAAGGACCTTATGATACTTTCAGCATATGTTCATTCTACTTTTTTAGGGTTTGAAAAATCTTAGTGATACAATGGCATTTTATTTACTAAATTTTTGTTATTTAAAATTTCAGAATCTATGATTGAGGAAGAAAATTCCTTTTCTGAAAATCAACCATTTCCTTCTCTTAAGATGGTAAGTTTCCGAGGAAAACTAGGACAAGTCTATCTCATTAATCTTATTGCCTGAACAATTTATTTTGTTCTTTTAAATGGGCACTAAAAAGATGGTGTGAATAATGTGATTAATGCAAATCTGTTATCATTGGTGCTTCTAGAAGGTGTACTTTTGTGTGATATACTTGTGCTGCTTTTTTATCTTAAGAGTAACTTATCTCAAATAAATAAAAATTTCCTCAATGGCTTAATTTGGTAAGAATAGCATATGTACATATTTCTGTATATAGAGGAAGGAGAAGGCAAAAAAAGGGCTGGAAGAGGGTGAGATGTTTAAAAAAAATGATTGTTTTCAAACAATAGATTTCAAAAATTCACTGAGAAAGAAATTAGGATGAAAAATTTTAAAAACCAGGCAATTAATACAGGAATTCTTTTGAAAGCATCAGGAAAGCCCACATAGGTGCAAAAGAGATGATGGGTCTCCCTTGGTTTCTACTGTGCCTCTTAATACCTGCTCTTATGTGGTGTTTTTTTTGTTGTTTTGAGTTTTTGATACCAGCGATTGAACCCAGGGTCACTTAACCACTGAGTCACATCTCCAGCCCCACCCCCACCCCCTTTATTTTTGTATTTAGAGAAAGGGTCTCCTGTGTTAGGTCCTTGCTAAATTGCTGAGGCTGGCTTTATACATACACTCCCCTTGTATCATCCTCCTGAGCTGATGGGATTATAGGTGTGTGCCATCTTGCCTGGCTTGTCTTTGTTTTTTTGTTTTGTTTTGTTTTGTTTTTCCTGGTAATGTCAGATGTGGTAGATTTCTTAAACAAAAATAGGTGATTACAGAGTATTATGATGTGAAAAATGTATGTTTTAGGCATGGGGGCTTATTAGTGGAGGTTTTTTTTTCAGTTTATGATTCTTTATTTTCATATTCTCTTCTTTCCCCCACATTTTTTTATTGGTGCATTATAGTTGTACATGCTAATGGGATTTGTGGTTATATATTTGTACATGCAGAACAATATAATTTATATATAACAATATGTAAATATATAACACTATAATTTATATAACAGTATAATTTAGCCAATATCCCTTCCTAGCACTTTTCCCTTCCCTCCCCACCTCCATGCCTTTTGGACCCTTTCTCTACTGATCTCCCTTTGATTTTTAGGACATACAATCCCACCTGTTTTTTTTCTTTTTTCTCTCTAGCTTCCACATGAGAAAAAGACACATGACCGATAACCATCTGAGTTTGACTTACTCTGCTTAACATGATGGTCTCTAGTTTCATCCCATTTTCTGCAAATGCCATAATTTCATTTTTCTTTATGGATGAGTAAAACTCCATTATAGTATTAATGGGGTATTTTTTTTAATCTAGTATGTTATCTGGTTGCTAAAATATGAAGATAAATAATTTAGAAAAGGAGTGACAGTAAGGACCTTGTAATGAGGTATTTTGCTAAAACACTTAGGTATGTATTACCTGAGAAGACATTCATAAAACAATCTAAATAATTAAAGTAGTCAAAGTATTGATTGGCCAGCTATGGTGTTGAACACCTATAATCCCAGCAGCTCTGGAGGCTGAGGCAATAGCATCTCAAGTTCAAAGCCAGCCTCATCAATAGCGAGGCTCTAGGCAATTCAGTGAGACCTTGTCTCTAATGAAAAATACGAAAATAGGGTCTGAGGATATGGGTTAGTGGTTGAGTACCCATCTCTGGTACCCGCCCCCCCAAAGAAGTATTATTCATTCTGCAAAAATGTTGTCACAAAAGAACCCATAAGTCATTTGGTTCTCAGAAATCTCATGATTCCCAACCTTTTGAATTACTGAATAGAAAGAAAAGCAAATTTTTAAAAATTATGTTATACATGACACTAGAATGTATTTTGACATCTTACATACATGGAGTTTAACTTCTTTCTTTTGTGGTTGTACAGTATGTGGAGTTACACATCATAGGAATATAGGAGAGTTTATCCAGTTCATTCTACTGCCTTTCCCATTTTTATCTTCCCTCTCCTCTCCCCACTCCTATCAAATTCACTCCACTGCCTCACCCCATGCCCACTTGTGAGTCAGCATCTGCATATCAGAGAGAACATGTGGTCTTGGGTTCTGGGAATTGGTTTATTTCACCTAATGGTCTCTAGCTCCATCCATTTACCCGCAGGTGTCATAATTTCATTCCTCTTTATGGCTGGGTAGTATTCCATTGTGTATGTGTACCCTATAGAAATAGACAAATTTTAATTGTGTATTGAATGTTTGACAACATTTATTTAGCCTAATAAGTGACACTCAGATGCATCTAACACACTTAATTTGCCATTATCATTATGTAATCACAAAGAAATTTTAACAAAAAACTATCAAATATAATTTTAGTATAAGGACAATCTTTTTGCAAATTTTATGCTTTATAGTCTTAACACTATAACACACTTTTTCCTTATCCACTGAGCCTCATCTGTAGCACTGTTTTATATTTTATTTAGTGACAGAGCATCAATGAGTTGCTTATTTATGCCTTCCTTTTGCTTAGGCTGTAATTGAACTCAAGATCCTCCTGCCTCAGCCTGCCCACCCCTGTTCCCAGCCCCTGGGATTACAGGGATATGCCACCACACCTGGGTAGGCAGTGGGTTTTTTTTTGTGGTGCTGGGGATTGAACATAGGGCCTTGTGCATGCAAGGCAAGCATTCTACCAACTGAGCTATATATCCCCTGCCCCAGCTGTGCTCTTTACACTAACTTTTTTTGTTTGTGTTTTTATTTGCTTTTATAAAATTAAATATATATATTTTATACATGTTAATGACACTCTGAAGTTTTGAATCTGTTAAAGTAAAAACAATGTATTTTGATTCATTTTGCCCTAAGCATATTTGTGTGTTGCCCTATCATTTGTTTTAAGACTAAATAATTCAGATTTTTGTTTTTACTTATTGATGGACCTTTATTTTATTTATTTGTATGTGGTGCAGAGAATCAAACCCAGTACCTCACGCATGCTAGACAGGCACTCTACCACTGAGCCACAACCCCAGCCTCAGATGTTTTTTAATAAATAGAATAACTATTTGTTCATTTATATAGTCTTTTGCTTTATGAGTTTTAGTATATTGTTTCATTTGGAGATAACTTTTGGGGGGGTTATCAGCATGTTTTTTTTTTTTTTAGAGTATTATTGCTTCCAAAACAAGCTAAAAATCATTGGTTTTCATGTAATCATACCTTAGTATATCAATATACCTGAATATAATTTAGAATACATAAAAGATGTCTTCCTGAATTCTTGATGTTGTCTATAACTCACATGGAATGTTCTAAAAGGAATGGTGAAAAGGATTTTAGGTTAAGGATCTATCTTTCTGGTGGTAGTTATAAGTTATTACACTTATTGCTTGAAATTGCTCCTTTTGCTGTTTTAATTTGTCTTATTTAATATAGTGGTCACTAACCATTTTGTCAGTTTAATGAGAAAACATAGTAGTTTTTACTGAAGACATTAAACACTTTATCCTTACTAGTAAAGTATTCTTATTGATTGCTTCTTATAATAATTCTTTTATTTATTTGTTTTTATTCTACCATCTGTTTCACCAAAAACAAAACTCCAGGTTTTAGAGTCTTTGCCAGAAGATGTAGGGTTTAACATAGAAATTAAATGGATCTGCCAACAAAGGGTAAGTAATTCTCTATGCAATACCTGTCCCCCCTTTTCCATTTTTAAAGTTTTTTGGTTTCTGTGTTTTTGTTTTAATGCAATTAAGTTAAACTGAAGTTTTTCAACTTTATCCATCAAAGTACAGTACTTGTTAGATCTTTTTACAAAAGCCTATGTTACACTAGCTAATATGTGAGTACTTTTTAAATTAATGATGCATTTATAATAGAAGTTTTGATTTACATACACCTGATTTGTACATTAATGAATGGGTTCTAGACAGATTTATAAAGTAGACAATATCTCTGATTTAGTTAATACTTTCTAATTCTTCATCTATATGTTTATTTTAAATAATTTTCTGAGCAGTTTTCTGTTGAGGAGCAGTAGTTAGTAATAGTTACCAGGAAAAGAAATTTCTTCAGCTATGCTTTAAATTGTTTCCAAATTTAGTCATTTCTTTTTTTCAGTAAATATTTAATAGAAAGCTGCTACAGTCTAGGCATTTTCTGAATACAGTGGATAAGCAGTGAACTTTAATAAGGTTCTGTATTCTTGGAATGTATCTTTTAGTTGAAGAAAACATGAGAATCATGGTGAGAGAGTTAGATTGAGGACAGGTATTGAAAGTAGTTTATTCAGGTGTCATAATTGGTCAGTTGGACTGATTGATGTCCTGTATTTTGTTTTGGTCAGAATATTCTGACTCTTCAAATCATGTCTGTCTGTCTGTTTGTTTATTTATGGTACCAGGGATTGAACCCAGGAGCACTTAACCACCACCAAGCCACATCCGCATTCCTTTTTTTATGTTTTATTAGAGACAGGTCTCAATGAGTTGCTTGGCCCTCACTAAGTTCCTGAGGCTGGCTTTGAACTCCTCCTGTTTCAGCTTCCCCAGTCACTGGGATTATAGGCATGCACCACTGTGCCTAGCTAATCATAGCTGTTAAGACAGGCTATGATGGTCCTGGTTCACATAGTAAATGCTGGTCTTGCATTCATCTGTGAATATAGGAAAGTTATATTTGGTTCATTCTATTGACTTTCCTATTCCAGTCTCCCTCCCTTCTTCCCACTCCACCCTGTTCAACCCAGTGAACCTCCCCTTGCCCTGCCCCTGCCCCTGAATTATTTAACTATTTTTAAAGGATAGTTGATAATGTCTGAGACCCAATGAAGAAGAATCACAACTGTTATTTTTTTAAATAAAGGATTGTTTATAATGTATAAGGTTATTTTGATGTTTGTTGTTTTTTGGTAAAATTAATAGGTTCTCATTTAGCAAATGAAACAGTTTTTATGAAGATTATATAATATTTTAAATCAGTAGATTATAATTTTTTAGAATTTTATCTTTTAACATTAAAGTGAAGCCTATTAATGATAGTGACTTTTTATATGAGTGTCTATACCTGAATTATGATTTCTTTGCCATCATTGAATAACTGTAGTCTTAGGTTACTTTATCTTTTCAGGTCTTTGACTTCCTCATCTGTGAAATCAGGGTTGGTTAAAAAGCATTAAGAGATAACACTCCATACCTGTTAGGGCAGTTGTTATCAAAAAGTCAAAAGATAAATATTGGTGAGATCATGCTTAGAAGAGAACTCTTATATACTGTTGGTGGAAATGTAGATTAGTGAAGCCATATTGGGGTTTCTAAAGAAATTAGAAACAGAAGTACCATATGATCCAGCAGTCCCTTTTCTGGGTACAAATTCAAAGGAAATTAAATCATTACCTTAGAGATACTTTTATTCATTATAGCATTATTTATTCATTATAGTATTCATGATAGCCAAGGTATAGAAACCACCTAAGTGCCCTTTGATGGACAATTGGATAATGGTCCATTTGTAAGTTGGAATATTTATTATTCAGCCCTTGAAAAGAATGAGCTCACATTCACATTTGCCACAAAATAGTTGAGCCTGGAGGACATTATATATTAAATGAAACAAGCCAGACACACAAAAATATTGTATGATCTTATTTATATGTGGGATCTGAAAACAACTTAAAATTCACATACATGAAGAGAAAAAACAGTGGTTACAGGGTTGGGGAGAGGAGGAGGAGGAGGAGGAGGAGGAGGCAATGGGGAGATATAAGTCAAAGGATAAAAATAAGAAGTCTAAAGTGCTCATGCACAACATGAGGGCTATATGTAATGATATTGTATGTATGCAAAATAAGTAGATTTGGGCTGCTCTTGCCACAAAAGGGAAGAGTATAGGGTGTATCTTGGTGGTAGGCAGCATGTGTGTTCAAGGCCCTTGGTTTAATCCCTAACTCCAAAAATAGAGGAAGAGGGGCAACTGTGTGAGATGATTGATATGATAACTTATTTCAATTTAGTAATCTTTGTACTGTCTTTATGTATTCCATAATATTCTGTAGTATGCTTTAAATGAACATAATAAAGTATATTTAGTAATTTTTGAAAAATATGAATTAGATGCTCTTTTTTTTTTGCATTCTGATTCTAAGGTGTGCAATGGCTTTTCCCCCCCCCCCCTACATAGGATGGAATGTGGGATGGTAACTTATCAACATATTTTGACATGAATATGTTTTTGGATATAATTTTAAAAACTGTTTTAGAAAACTCTGGAAAGAGGAGAATAGTCTTTTCTTCATTTGATGCAGATATTTGTACAATGTAAGTAATATTCAATATTTTCCTTCTGTCCTCTTAGATTGTAGCTAGCACTCAGTACAGATGGTGGTTGGAGGTTGGGAAGTTGTTCGGCTTTCCCTTGATTTGGCCTCAGTCAAGTTCCCTGTGTTTTCATGATGGCTTTCTGATGGTTTCCTGTGAAATCCTAGAGCCTCACACCCTGTGGGCTTCATGTACTTGTGTGTCATGCCCTTCTTAACTTATGTAAACCTTCCTGGGCTTTCTCGTTGCTCATGCCTGAGAGTATTTTATATTTTTCTTGAGTTAATGGTGGTTATATATCTGAGTAGTTCGACTGTTTTTATTTTGTTTCAATTTCTTCATGTTTTTAATAATTTCTAAAATTTCAAATCAATATTATAGTTATTGCCCCACAGAAAGTATCGTTTTGTCCTTTTTAGGGTTCGGCAGAAGCAGAACAAATATCCCATATTATTTTTGACTCAAGGAAAATCTGACATTTACCCTGAACTTATGGATCTCAGATCTCGGACAACCCCCATCGCAATGAGCTTTGCACAGTTTGAAAATCTTCTGGTAAGTTGTTTGAACTTCCACTGTTTTGCTTCTATTGTTTTGTATCTTACAGTGGTAGTAAATAAATAAGGTTTCATGTTTATCTACCTAATGGTTAAAGATTTGACTGTGTCATAAGCAAGTAGCTCTATTTAGAAATGAGGATAGCCATACAGTCAACATGTATGTTTACAAATCACTTACATATATTAGCACTCTGTTTTAACTGCATTATATATTGAAAAGAATAAGGGAAATTAGAAGGAAAAAAATCTAACATTTTCTTTCCTTGCCTCTTCACTCTAGAAAGCATTGACCCATAGAATAAGTATTTAACATTTATAGTAAACATATTACTTTTTCATGAACAACTAACTTTTCTTCTTTTAGGGGATTAACGCACATACTGAAGACCTGCTCAGAAATCCGTCCTATATCCAAGAGGCAAAAGCTAAGGGACTAGTCATATTCTGCTGGGGTGATGATACCAATGACCCTGAAAACAGAAGGAAATTGAAGGAATTTGGAGTTCATGGTCTAATTTATGATAGGTATTTGGTTTTCATAAAAAATTTCCACGAAATGTTAGGAAAAGTGTAGCTTTCATCTTATAAAATTATAAATAAAATTAAACTTAGTTAAAATTCTGTAGTTTGGCCTGAGGTTTATCTTGACATTTGTCTGTCAGTGAGTTTTTTCAAACTTTGAAGTGTATCAGTCAGTTGAGAAGCTTGCTAAAAATGCAAATGAGTAGGTCCTAACCCAGATGTACTAAATCATTATAGGGGTTAATGGTTACTGTCTGCCACCTGTTTTCTGTCTATACAGCTTTCTCAGTGGTCTCGTCATACTCTGTGTCTTTTCATATCGTCATATATTTCTAACATTGTATGTGTCCAACTCAAGACAGTTTCCCTGATCTCTAAACATTTATGTCCAGGAACCAATACCTATTCCTCCTTTCATCTTCCTGATTTCAACATAAATGAAAAGTGTGGTTGTTCCAGTTCCTCATATCCCAGATCCAGTGAGACAGAAAATCTTGTTGACTCTGACTTTAATAAGATATCCTGAGTCTGTCCCCTCACCGTGTTTGCTGTTGTCACTCAGCTGAATCAACTCATCTCAGTGTGCACATCACTGAAGTAGCCCGCACCCCGGTGATTGCCTCCACATTTGTCTATTCTCACACTGCAGCCAGTGGGAGGCTTTTAAAACCTGTGTCAGATCATTTTGCTGCTAACATGGTTTTCTGTGCCACCTAAAAGGAAAAGCCATAGTCCTTAGTAAGGGCCTTGTGTGAGCTGACCCCCACCCCCTTTCCCTGTACCACCTTTCATTCCTCATTCCGTTTCTGACGTTTTCTTCCACAACTTCCCCCATTTGCTGTTTCTCTTTTCAGAGAAAGATTTCAACCTGTTTACTGTGTTTCCTAACTTTTCTCCATGTCTTCTCACCATCTGACATACCACATATGCATATCATATGGTACTTGGCTATTTTTCTTCCTGACCCCTTTCTCCCCAACTCTTCCCCGCTTTCTGATGCACACAAACAAGAACATAAACTCCATGAGGGCAAAGCTTTTCCCTGTTTTATTTACTGCCTCCACAGGCTGGATGTGTGTAACACAGTAGGAACTCATATTTATTGTACTGGTCTTTTTTAATATATTTTTTTAAGTCGGCTTCCTGGCTTCCTGACTGACACTATCTTGAGAGACAGATTTCTTTAATGTAAAGAAGTTTGGGATTAGAAAGGATGTTATTAAGGTGGTAAAATTGTAGGCATGTAAAGAGGAAGTAATAAAATCCTGACTGGACCTGCCTTTCCTTGAATTTAGTTCGTATTATTATTTGTCCTATAAATTTATATCACTTTCTTAATAAAGCTTTCCCCCCACTATTTTGTCTGAATTAGTCTGGTTTTTAAATTATAGCCAAGATCCTCCCTTCCTTGTTAATGTTTGGTTTAATTTTGCATAAAACAATATGTTCTGTAACTTAAAAATAATTTCCAGCTAATTAGATGAAAATTAAAATTTTAAATGAACAATTTGAAGGAAGTGCTAGCTTGATCAAATCTTTGAAGATTTCGTATATGTGTACACACATAGATGTGTGCATATGTGGAGGAAGGAGTGATTTCAAATATTTTCAGGCAAGAACAGTGTACTCTGAGATTATGAATGTATGGCTTTATAAGATGTATGGATTTATAAATTTTTAGGCAGCTCCTTCATCTCATGGGCCTTGGTTATTGGCATCAAATGTTCACATATAATGGAAAACAGGAGGCACTAAAGGAAGTTCTTCCTGGCTTGGAGTCTTAAAAGAAGAATTAAGTTAGAAGTTAGTTGAGGATAGATAAGATAGACATTTTAGGTAGAGGCAAGAACATAAATCAGGGTAGGACTCTGAAAGTGTGGAGAGACAGAATGGCACCAACTTCTTCTTAGAGTCTGATAAGAGATAAATTAGATTATGTTAACTCTGGATTGTCTTTCTAATGTAACCAAAGAACTTCATGTATTATAATTTAAAAATTCAAATAGTTTTGTAAGGCTTATAATAAAAAAGCCTCAGTCCTTTGTTCCAATTCCTTTCACTGTCCCTGGCCATGTCCCTGCCTCCTTATTTATTTATTTTTAGGAGACCCCCTATTTCTCTCTCTCTCTCTCTCTCGTGCTGGGGATCGAACTAAGGACCTTGTGCATGCAAGGCAGGCACTGAGCTATACCCCAAGCCCTTACCTCACTATTTCTAATTAATGTTTATTGCTCTTATAGTTACATTATCAAATTTAGACATGAAGACAGTTTTTTAATGTTTACTGATTTGGAGCTATTTAGGATTGGCGTGGTAAGAGTGGGTGTTTTAGATTATTAAAAAACTATTTTACTCTTCAAAGGCATTAAAACACAGATTTCATATTTAATCATATTTTTGTGATATATAAACTGCATTCGATTTTCTAATATTTTGTTTGAGAGTTTTACATTTTTGATAATTAGTGAGATGACCTTTAATTTACCTTACTCAAATGGTTGTCTAGTTTTGAGATCAAGGATAGTACTGGTCTGATAGAATTGCCCTCTTTTTTTTTTTTTTAGATGATGGGTCTTAAACACAGGGCCTGATGCATGCTAGGCAAGTGCTTAACCACTGAGCTATCCACTGAGTTCCCAGCCGTCCAATTTTAGTAAATGGCTATTTATCAGTTTAGATGATTAAAATAGAACACAATACAGTAACAATACAACAGATACCTGTGTTTAAAATAAATACCATTATAATTTTACAGTCCCTTTCTTTCTGCTTCATACATAACCACTTACAAAATTATTTTTTCTTTAACATTTTTAGTTGTTGATGTTCCCAATACCTTTATTTTTGTTTAATTTATTTTTTTTATATGGTGCTGGGAATTGAACCCAGTGCTTCATGCATGCTAGGCAAGCACTCTTACCACTGAGTCTGACAACCCCAGCCTGATTTTTCTCTTAAAAATTTAATCATCTTTCTTTAAATAATTAGCCATTGAGTTTTACATAATTTTTAACTTCATACTTTATTTGGAAAATAGCTATTATTCATTTTCATGGCTGTATAACATTCCGTTCTGCTTTTTAAGAGCATTTATGTTGTTTCCAACTTTTTGTTATTATGCACAGTGTTGCTGTGAACTATTTATTTATCATCACCATCATCATCATTTTTGAAATATTGGAGATTGAACCAGGGCCTTACACATTCATGTTAGGCAAGTGCTTTACCACTGAGCTACATTCCTGGTCCTTGCTGTGAACATTACTAACCAGGTTTCCTGGAATATATGTATAAGGTTTCTTTTTTTTTTTTTTTTAATATTTATTTCTTAGTTGTAGATAGACACAATATTTTATTTATTTATTTTTATGTGGTGCTGAGGATCGAACCCAGGGCCTTGCGTGTGCTAGGCAAGTACTCTACCGCTGAGCCACAACTCCAGCCCCTGTATTAGGTTTCTCTAGGACAGTATCTTTTTTATTTATTTTTATGTGGTGCTGAGGATTGAACCTGGGTCTCACACATGGCGAGGCGAGCACTCTACTGCTGAGCCACAACCCCAGCCCTAGGACAATATCTTTCAGAACTTTTTGACCCCCAGTCTATTTTGCATTGCAATCCATGACACACATAGATATGTATATTTACGTATGTTTATCTATATAAACAAAATTAAAGAAATGTGCCTTGAATATTTCATATTCATGAGTATGTACTTGTTAAATGCAAATGTTAACTTCTAAACTGATTTTGTGACCCACTAGGTCTCTAGCCCAGCACCATCAGGCATCTGCCTGTGGGTCAGGCATTGGAAGTACAACAGGAACTATTGGAAGTACAACAGGAACAGCCTGGAGTGGGCTGTTCTGTATTTCCTGCTGCATTGTAGCCTACCATCAGTTCTCAGGAGTAGGGCCAAGCATTCTAATCCTGTCAGGTATTGTAGAAACTGCCTCAGTACATGGTGCAGATGTACTGAATTTAAGTAAGACTGGTTCATGCTTCCTAGGACACCTGTCCTTAGGTTACAGGGCTGCTAGAGTGGCAGTGGCTCTCTTGGAATGGTATCCTTAATATGCCTTTCTCTTTACTGGGATAGCGCCACTACAAAATTGGTTGACCTCTGTGGGCACAAGTGCCATCCTGAAAATTTTCCATAAGAATTTTAATCCCCCTGGTGCTAAAGATGGAACCCAAGTTCTCATACATGTCAGGCAAGGATTCTACCACTTAGCTGTATCCCCAGTCCTGTTCTTTCATCTTAAAAGCTTTCTAAACTGTTTGGAAATCCAAGGTTTCCTTCCATGGTACGGTTGGGACTTGCAAAGCTTATTGGACATTCTGGAGGTATGAATGGGGTTGCTGACCTGGTCTTTACTGTGGGGTGATGTCAGTAGATTTAGAACTTTACCCCCCGACACACATTGCCCCAGTCCTAGGAATTGAACTCTGTCACACTCTACCATTGAGACAGGGTCTTGCTAAGTTGCCCTGGCTGACATTGAACTTGAAATCTTCCTGCGTCAGCCTTCTGAATTGCTGGGAGATATATGCCACCATTCTTGGCAAGAACTTTACTTTTTGACTGATCAAATTCCTCATAAGAAAAATCTGTATATTATTCCTGGGGCATCCAACACTGGCTGCCAGGAATTAAATGAGGGAAGACAGGTGGGCGAGGGAGGATGTATCTGGTTTTAGTATTTGTAATATGCTGTCTCCAAATTCCCCTGGTACTGTAGCTGTGGTGGTGGTTTTATAAAATGCTCAAACCCCCACCTTATCTGGTTATATTCTTTTGTGTGTGTGTGTGTGTGTGTTGCTGGGGATTGAACCCAGGGCCTTGTGCATGTGAGGCCAGCACGCTACCAACTGAGCTGTATCCCCAGCCCCAATTATCTTCTATTCTAAGAGACATCCAGTTAAATTCAGAGTCTAGTGTGAAGGAGGCACAGCCTCAGCAGCTGGGAGTAGAGGAAGAAAATGCTTATTGCTACTCCACATCTTCACCTCTTCTTTTCTTTTTTTGCTCCCTTCCCTTTCATTTCAGTTTAAGAGGAATTTGCTGCTTTTAGCCTAGCCTTTTTGTTTTTCCTACTACTGGCTTGTGAACTGGTCTTTTTAGGTTGTACAGAGAAACTTCTAATTGTTCATCCATCTGGTTTTTTTAACCTTCAGTTTTATTGCTGTCTCTTTGAGTTTTTCTCATACTCATGGAGAGTGTGTGTGTGTATGTGTTACCAACGAATGAACTCAGTGCTCTACCACTGAGCCATGGAATGAACTCAGTGCTCTACCACTGAGCCATACCTGCCATACCCTCACCCTTTATATTTTGAGATAGGGTTTCACTAAATTATCCAGGCTGAACTTGTACTTGTGATCCTTCTGCCTCAGCCTTCCCAGTAGCTGAAGTGTGCACCACTGTATCTGGCATACTCATGCACTTTTAAAAAAAAAATTCATTATTTTTAATTTTATATATTTATGTTTGTGGTGCTGAGGATTGAACCCAGGGACTTGTGCATGTGAGAAAAGCACTGTACCAACTAAGCTATATCCTCAGCCCAGAAATTCCCTTTATTTTTAACAGAACATAGGAAGGGAGTAAAGTTAGATGGTTCTGTTCTTTCTGTCTCATACCTTGACCCAGAGGTCACTTTTCATTCCCTCACATGTCTAATTAACAAAATCTGTTGTACTAGAATCAGATATTTAAAGATGTTGTTTTTAAATCTTGTTTAATAACTTCTTACCAACTGTGATGTTTGTAAAAGATTCTCACATTTCCCTGTACAGTTACTTGGCTTTCAAGTGTGGTGTGAGAGGCCATCCTATCCTTTCTCTGCTGATGGGTGATGCCAGTGCTCCTATGAGTCATGGGAGACTCTTTCTGGGCTCTGTACTACACAGAGTTAGGGTAGTTCCCACACTGGGCAGTTTTTTTTTCAGTTCAATCTTCAGTGACTTTGAAGTCAGAACAGGGTATGAATTCTAGCTCTCCAAACATTTCCATTTTGAAATTAAGGCATTGCCAGTTGAATCACTTAAGTAGCAGATACTTTCAAAAGTCACTAGTAATCTATACATTTCCAATTCAATTGCTTTATAATCAGCTCTTTTGTATCAGGGATATGAAAAAGCAGTGCTGGTGTTCAGGGTTACTAGACTAGGAAGAAGAAAAATTTTAAATGTCTCTGATGCTTTTGTCTTTAAAAACAAAAGAAAAACTCAGTAATCTATGGATGTTCCAGACATTTTGTAAATGAATTCTCATGACAATGTTAAGTCAGGCAGTTCTTAAATAAGCCATAAAATTACACTATTTTATGTATTCTGTGTTTGTTTCATCATAGGATATATGATTGGATGCCTGAACAACCAAATATATTCCAAGTGGAGCAGTTGGAACGCCTGAAGCAGGAATTGCCAGAGCTTAAGAGCTGTTTATGTCCCACTGTTAGCCACTTTGCTCCCTCCTCTTTGTGTGGGGAGACTGGTATCAATGGCATTGATAATGTGGAGAATGCTTAGTTTTTATTGCATAGGCCATTTTGGGGCATGCACCGCTGTTCTGGATAATCAGTTTTCATCATTGAGCATTGTTTATGCCTTTTGGGTTTCTCAGTCCAATGAAGCAATAATGAAGTATTTCACTCTTTCACTACAGTTCTTGAAAAAATTTCAAATATGCTATTTAAATCACTTGGCCAGGTATAATTTCCAGTCAGTCTCTAGACAAGGAGAAAATTTATTGTTTGGTAAATATTTTTAAACTAAATATTTAAGCCTATAATGTTAAACAAATCTTCATTAAAAGCATAGACTTTGAAATTAACTATATAAATATTTCATATTTACTCTTAGAGCTTTTCATTTGATCAGGTCTGAAATCTTTAGCACTTGATGAAAGTGACTACGCATAATTATACCTGACCATGGAACAAATAAGTACCTCAAATGCATGCATTTGCACTGGTGATTCCAGCTGCACAAATGTTTGTGCCATCTGTGTATATAGGTATTTTTTACATGGATTGACATACACATACACCATTTTCATTCAGTTTAAACCTTGAGGCTGCTGCCATTTCCCTCACTTAACCAAACCAGCCTGGAGGTGAGCCTTGAAACTCATTTCATTTTTCAAAAGTTGTTTTGCATAAATGTTAAAATCTCAAAATGCTGCAGGGTAATTTAATGTATAAAATATTAGAAGTATGTGTTACATATGTAGTAGAGTAGATCACAATATATAAATTTGATTCAATGCATGCTTTAGGTTTTGAGCATGAAATTATACATGTTTACTATTAAGTCCTTGCATCTGTGGTGCTAGGGAAGTGTGAGAAGATGTCAAGGACTGAAAATATTTTGTTGCCTAAAACAAAAAACAACAACAAAAAAAACTAAGGCATTTAAAGTATGCTTATTTTAGGAGTCTCTCACTACCTATTTCACACTGTTGCTTTGTGGGTTTATTTTGTGTGCATATTGTACAGTAGTTAAATGTCCATGCAGAAAAATAAATGTCCTAGATTCTTACATTGATTTTCTTTATTGGTTAATATATATCATGCATGTAATTTATTTAGAAATGTGGAAGATCTTACTGAGTGTATATGCATGTTTTTAAGATTATACTAAGGTTGCTTTCATTAGAAGCAGATTGTATTGACATCTGTAACTTAAGAATGAATGTTAAATAAAATGACAGATTTATTTTCTTCATTATAAAATGGAATTTCAAGAAGTTATTACTTTTTTAGAATGGTTTTATAATGTTATGAGAAATCATCTACCTTTTACTGTGTGTTTTTCACAAGGCAGTTTATTCATACATTGACATAATTTTGGTAGTGTCTGAAAACCTAGAACTTGGAAATTACACATCATCTTTTTATTTTTTAAACTAAGCAATGCACTTTTGGTTAGATCTTAGTTGTATATAAAGATAGGGTTGGAAATCCTATGGTATTTTGACATTGATATTTAGTGAAAAATAGTCTAAGGATTCTATATACATTTCCCACATGGAATGGTATTTTTAATATTTTGTTTTGAATTGGACACAACAATTAAAGTAATTAGTGTACTTTACCTGCAAACCTTTGTACAATGCAGTGACCATTCCCTATTAGAACCTGATGGCCATATATGTGTGTTTCTGTTTCCATCCTATTGCCCTTCCTGGGCCTCTTTACTTCCATTTCCACTATGATGACTTGGGAACAGAGGGGATGCAGATCATCATGGGGGTGGGCAGAAAAGAGATGTCAGGAAAGGAGAGGGGAGTATGTGCTGCCAAACAATTTAATTTGCTGAGAGGAGCTTATAGTAACTACTTATGTTATACTTATTTCCTAGCCACTCATTTAATTTTCTATTTCTTCCTGACATACAAACCAGTGAGAGTAGAGGGTTAAAACAAATGTTTTTAGGGCTGAATCCAGGCCTCTGTGTCACCCTCTGTTAACGCTTAAACTGTGCTCCAGCCATGTAGTACTTGGGCTAGAACCTGCACATACCATGACCCCACATTACCCAATCTGTGCCCATCTGCCCTCTGCCCAGAAGTCCTGTTCTTCCCAGGCACGTTCTCCCTGATACACCTTCTGTGCCCTTGCCAAACCCCATCAGAGGAAGGAATCCAGTTTTTCAACAGATAATATTACGTTCTCATGTTCATCATGCTGTGCCTCACACTACATTCTAGGTAGACGTAGTTGATGTTTGCTCACCTACCAGGCTGCAGCCTCTTCAAGGGCAAGGTTCTTTATTACTAATTATTTTTATTTCCATAGTACATGGAACATAGTAGATAAAAAAATGTTGGAATTACTGGGTTATTGACAGTTGGGACAGCTTATTGATATCAATTTTGAAATGTAGAGTTAATGTTAAATTATTTTATAGTTTCTGGAAGTACAGTGAAATGTTTGATAAAATGCCGCCATTGTTCTCTGGTATTTTCTCCTCTCTGGGATTGTGTTCTGTAACTGCACTTCAAAGTGGGTAGTGTCTGAGGGCTACAGCAGCTGGCTTCCTGCCGCCGTGTACTTCTTTCCATTTTTGTGTGACACTTGTCTCTTCTCCCCTCCAAAGCCACACTTCCGCCTACCGCAGTGCCACTTTCCTTGTCTGAAATGCCTTCTCTGCCTTTCATCAGTATCCCGCTTGGGTGCCACCTCCTCCATAAAACTTGCCTCAGCTTTTGATCCGAATCCTGATGGAAACAAGTGCAGACAGCCTCTAAATCTCACTACTACGTTTTTCTGCTGGGTTAATAATACCAGAGAGGTTATCTGATTTACAAGGTTGGAACTAGAACCTGGATTTCATGACTTTTAATCCTGCATTCTTAAACTACGCTGCCTTCTGAAGTCTTGTGGAACTTGGCATGAGCTTTTTTACAGTCCAGCTCTCTTGTGTACTTTCTATACTTTCCCTAGTAAGATTGTAAGACCCATAAGGGCAGGCACTACTATGCTTAGTTATGAACTAGATAAATAACAGTGGTGGCAACAATCCTATTTTCCTAACTCTGGTTTCACAGTAAACATAGTTTTGTGAGGCGTGCTTGACTGTATTGTCTGGAGTCTGTCTGCTCACATGTTTGTGTGTGCATGTGTTTATATATTTACATCTGGAGTTTTTCCTCTGCCCCAATTGCTTGGAGTCAAGTATTTGACATGTTACCCTACCCAATTTCTGCTTCACTTTGAATGAGGAGAATTACCAGAATCCTTATTATTTCATTGATTTAAGTGGGACATAAGAAGTTGCTGCTTTGGTTAGAACTTGTGTGACCTGTGGAACAGGTTTTCTGTCTTGGTGATTTCTCTGTAGCTGTGACTGATTTGTGTCTTCCACAATATTACTGGTTTGATTCTCTAGGTTGATAATGGAGTCCTGTTAATTTAGACTTGTATAATTGATTTACTCCTGGGGTTATGTATTTTGGGGGTGGAAAGTTAGTTATTTATATTAGAAAAAAACTATTATTTTTGCATTCATGATTGGAAATGCATTCAAATATAACCTCTTAGTGGGCTTATACAGTTAGAGAAACAGATTTGAGATGCTTAAATGCAAGAGAGCTTATTAAGACTGCCATACCAAATGTGTGTTGGAAGTAATGGAGAGGGAATCATAGGTTGGAACAAAGACTTCATGAGCTCTCGAGCTCTTACAGAACAAGGTGGTGATCTGGACAGTTGTGAAAGCAGTTTGAGTAACTATGGCCAGGGTGTAGTTGTAGTGTTTTTTGAGGAATGAAGGAGCCATTTTGACAGTAGAGAAGATATTGTGAATACCAGATAGAGTCTTCGTGTATGTGTAGGAGAAAATAAGCTTGTTAATGATTTTAAAGAAGGAAAGTGACATGAAGGGGAAGTGTTTAAAAATAATGAGGAAAATAGTTCAGGAATAATAAAAGAAGTACTTTAATTATTCTGTCTAGTCCTCTATTATATTAATCCAATATACTTCTATCCATTTCCTCAAATGGAAAACAGAAATGTGGGTGGGTAAACTTCAGAGACTAATTTGAAAATTCAAATGACATAATTTCAAAGGGAGGAACGTAATAAAGGCTTAGCAAAAGTTCAGCAGTATCTGATTTCAAATGTCTCTCTGCAACCCAGACCTCTCCCCCAAGTTCCAAATTCACCTATCCAGCCCTGTCCCCACCTCCACTTAGAATGAGCGGTTATCTCTTGCTTACTGCACTTCAGCGAGGCCCTTTATCCTTCCCTGTTTTCATCACTCTGCTCCCATCCCGCCCCTTCCCTTGTGCTGTGGCACATGGACTCCTCTCTGATTTTTCTCCTAGTGAATCCATATTCTTTTTTTTTTTAAATATTTATTTTTTAGTTCTCGGCGGACACAACATCTTTGTTTGTATGTGGTGCTGAGGATCGAACCCGGGCCGCACGCATGCCAGGCGAGCGTGCTACCGCTTGAGCCACATCCCCAGCCCCGAATCCATATTCTTAATGTGCCTTGTATTATGATATGTGATAGGGAAGTTGCCCAGATTTTTTTTATTTTTAAAAATTTCATAACATATCTTTGATAATTTGAGAATCAGCTTGTCAAAAGACAGAAAAATCTAAGTCCCCATGGGATTTTGGTCTGCTTGTATTGGTTGGCTATGTTGAAAATATGAGGGATAGATTGTTTAAAAATATGATGTTCTATTCAGAACACCGTATGTCTGATTTATTCAAAATGTTTTCCAGTAAAATGAGTTTTTGTTTAGATGTTGTTTGCTTTTTAAAGTTCATTTTTAGATTTTAAGTTTTTGGTACTGAGGGTTGAACTCAGTGCTTTATCTGAGCAATATCCCTAGATTTTTTTTTTCCCCCAGACAGGTAGTTAACCCAGGCTGACCTTAAACTTACTGAGCTGCTGCTGCTGTAACCTCGCAAGAATTGCTGGCATTGCAGGTGTGTTCCACTGTGCCCTCCTATTCTTAGAATTTAAAATAATACTCAAAATAGGTTTTTAAAATTTTGTTTTACATTTCCTCAAATACTTCAGTTACAAGCAGTAAATTTTTGTTAATTGGTCATAGCTGTAGCTACATTGCTGAATGCATTTTTTTGTTTCCATTTTTAAAAATATATTTTTAGTTTTTGATAGATCTTTATTTATTTTTATATGTGGTGCTGAGAATCGAACCCAGTGCCTCACACGTGCCAAGCAAGTGTGTTACTGCTGAGCCATAGCCCAGCCCCTTGTTTCTAATTTAAAAAATTATTTCATTAGCTAGTAGCAATCACAGGCATCCTTGTTTTGTTTTTCCTGATTATCATGGGAATGGAAGCTGTGCAAACTCTTCTCTTTCTTTTAGTAAAAATGTGATAAGAATTTGAGTTGCCTATTAGACATCTCAGTTGAAAGGAGGGATAAGTGTGTGTACTGTGTGTTGCATTTGAGGTAATTTCCTCTGTTCCAATTTGCTAGTATACTGTTTATTGTTTATTTTAGACACTAATTAAGCCATACATTTTTTTCCAAATTTTCTAATTGATTCTTCTTTATGTACATCCAATTTTATTTCATTCCTTTCTTTTTTTAAAAAATAGTTCAAAGTCTTTTTTTAAATTAAAGTGTAACTTCTATTTATCTCTTTGAATACCCTCAACTTTTGTTTTAAATCTTTTTCAGGATGTTCAGATTGTTGATTTTATTGGTTTTTCTCTTAGCATGTCATTTCCTCATGTGTGTTGTCATTTTGTGATTGTGTTTTTGTCTCTTTCCTTCCCTCTTCTAACTTCCGCCTTGCGATTGCCTCACTGGAAAGCTCCAAAACCCGATCTGAACCCAGTTAAATGATTTATAACTGGTAGTTGGTGAAGGACACCTGGGACATTGCACATCACCTTAGTGTCATCAGATGGCTTCATTTTGGTTTTTGGCCCAAGAACATTTTTATATTCTATTTTGGTCAATTTTGTTTTATCTTTTTATAATTTGTCCATTTTTCTTGGGCATAATTTTCTACTATGAGAGGCAGAATCTGTTGCTTACACCCAAGAAAATTAGATTTATATACTATGTACTCTATTAGACGCATATGTATGCATCTGTAGTGTATTCAGAGCCAAGACGTGCTTATTTGGCATGATTCTCTGATCATTATAACACTGTTAGAAATCACTACCATCCTAGAGGAGTGTGATATGGGTGCCGCCTTCCCTCAGGAAGCCCAGATTAAAAACATAACTGTAGT